GAACTCAGTCAAAAAAGAAGAACCAACATCTTCCCTGGTCCAACACCTTAAAGCCACAGGACATGAAATTGACTTTAAAAATACCAGAACCATTGCCAAAAGTGAACATTTTAATAACAGAATAATCAGAGAAGCCATCGAGATAGAAAAACGCCCACACAGCATGAACAAGCGAGATGATACCTCCCGCCTACCAGCCATTTGGAAACCCGCCCTTATTGACAAACTACTCCCTAACACAAAAAATGATACCGGACCCACACTCACAAAAACCACACAGGATGTCACCACCACACATCCACGCAAAAAACAAACCCAAAGCCACACCGATGATGAGGCACGACCACAAACCATCAGCCAGACCACAGCTGCATCATTAGCCACTTTAAACCCCTCCAATCCATACATGAAGCAAACTGACACCCTCCATGAAGATGAGGCACGACCACGAACGCAAAGCCAAAAAATAACAAGGTAGCCCAAAATCTTAACCCCCCTGCAACTCAGACTAACCTGAGCACAACCAAACAGAACACTCCCCCAGCCAATCAGAGCACAGCCAACCCCCCAGCCAATCAGAGCACAGCCAACCCCACAGCCAATCAGAGCACAGCCACGCCCCTAACCAATCAGAACACACCTCCACCCAATCAGAACACAGCAAGCTCCCACCCAATCAGTTCATACCCCCACTGGCAGTTAAAAGGAAGAAACAGCTAAGACCACACATTGCTGCTCGAAGCACGAAGCTGAAAACACCAGCCTGAAGATGACGAATGGGACTTCGTCGAAATGTCGCCAAGACACTTCCAATTTTACGTGGGAGAAAACCCGAATATATATATATATATATTAAAAAGGATATTAAAAATAGAAGCATGATTCCTGGGTGTATACATGGTGAGAATAAAATATGATCACCAGGAAAAGTTAAAACATTAAAAGTTTTAATATAAAACAGAAGCTTTAAATAAAAACATTAAAGTTTTTAAAAAATTAGCAACCTAGCTTTCGTTGGCTCCTGCCAACTTCATCAGGGTGTATTGATTTGTGTACGCCCTGATGAAGTCGGCAGGAGCCAACGAAAGCTAGGTTGCTAATTTTTTAAAACTTTAATGTTTTTATTTAAAGCTTCTGTTTTATATTAAAACTTTTAATATTTTTGGGTGAGGCAGCTGATCTACCAAATATAAATCAGTCTGTTCTTCATTTCGCTCCAATCTAGGAGCATGTTTGCAGGCAGACCTCACATACTGTGAACACTATAAATTCAAAATTTTGTGGCTGACAAAGAGTTAGTGGGAGACTAGTATAGCCTGAAATAGCTATACTAGTCTCCCACTAACTCTTTATCAGCCTCAAAATTTTGAATTAAGAACTATATATGTGAAGGATTCCTGGCAAGGGATGGGCTGCATCTCACAAAAAGAGGGAAAAATGTACTTGGAAAAAGACTGGCCCAACTCATCAGGAGGGCTTTAAATTGAAATTGAGGGGGGAGGATGACTAATCTTTAGAATCTCTAGAACCCAAAACCAATCATAAATCCCAAGAAAACAAAACAAACAATGAGGTAGGCAGAGATGAGAAAAAAGAAAAACCCAAAGAACAATCAGGAGATGCAGGAAACATGCCCACAAACATGCATAAAAGTCTTAAATGCTTATATACAAATGCTCAAAGCATGGGGAACAAATGGCGAACTAGAAGCAATAGTACACAGAGGGTATGACATAGTTGACATTACAGAAACCTGGTGGGATGAAACCCATGAATGGAATGGACTGATGGATGGATACAAATTGTTCAAAAGAAACAGGCCTACAAAAAGAGGAGGGGGAATTGCACTATATGTAAGAGAACACTACATATCTGCAGAAATGCACATGATCCAAGACAAAATCTCTCCAGAATGTATATGGGTCAATATAAAAGAGAAAGGAAGTAACATTGCAACAGGTGTATATTATAGGTCATCCAACCAACCAGAAGAAATAGATGAACTCTTTGCCAACCAGCTAACAAATGTATGTAGGAAGCATACCACAGAAGTAATGGGAGACTTCAACTATCCAGATATCAACTGGAAGACAAACTGCAGCGAGCGGGAGATCAAACAGATTCTTAATCAACCTACCTGACAACTTTGTCATCCAAAAGGTGGAGGAGGGAACTAGACGTAAAGTCATACTGGACTTAATTCTAACTAACAGAGGAGAAGTGATAGAGGGAGTTGAAGGTGCCGGAACCTTGGACAAAAGTGACCACATCATACTGGAATTTTATATAATGCAAACACTAGCACCAGAAAACAATCCAACCAGTTTCTTGAACTTCAAAAGAGCTGACTTTAACAAACTCAGAGAGAACCTAGAAAAGATCCCATGGATGAAAATCCTAAAGGGGAAAACAACCCAAGAAACGTGGGAAACTCTGAAAAATGCAATCAGCACAATAAGAAAAACAAAAAATTCAAGAAGAAACCAGCATGGCCACACACAGATCTCTCTGACAAACTAAAAAAAAAAAAAAGGACAAATACAAAAAATGGAGAAGTGGGGCACATAACCTAAGGCCGATTATCAGCAGACAGCCAGAACATGTAAAGATGATGCTCAGAACGAACAAAGACTTGCAACAGAAATCATGGATAATAAAAAAAAAGTTTCTTCCAACATATTAACAACAAGAAAAAAGTCAAGGAAACTAAGTCCACTAAAGAGAGAAGATAGCAAGGAAATAACAGGCAACAGGGAGAAAGCAGAGCTGCTTAACTGATATTTTGCATCAGTCTTCACACAAAAAGAAAATATAGCCCAACACACACACACAAAAACCACTGCAAAAGACAAATTAGAAACAAAAATTAAAATGAGCAAGAAAATAGTAAGGGAACACCTATCCAACCTTGACAATATAAATCACTGGGGCCTGAAAGATTACATCCCAGAGTTCTGAAGGAGTTGGCAGATGTTATCTCAGAACCATTGCACCACATCTTTCAAAAATCCTGGAGCACGGGGAAGTACCTAAGGATTGGAAAAGGGCTGATGTGGTTCCCATTTTCAAGAAAGGGAAAAAAACGGACCCAGGAAACTACAGACTAATCAGTTTAACATCAATACAGATCATGCCAAATGAATCTTATTTCATTCTTCGACAAAGTAACTAAACTAATAGACCAGCGAAATACTGTGTACGTAGTATACTTAAACTTCAGTAAAACATTTGATAAAGTAGACCACAACCTATTCCTTGGTAAGCTAGGAAAAGGTGGAATAGACAACATCACTACCAGATGGATCTATACTGGCTGGCAAACCGTACTCAACAAGTAGTCCTCAACGGCATTACATCCACATGGAGAGAAGTAAGCAGTGGGGTACCACAAGGTTCCATCTTAGGCCCAGTACTCTTCATATCTTCATCAATGACTTAGATGAGGGAATTGAAGGGGAACTCATCAAATTTGCAGATGACACCAAACTGGCAGGAGTAGCCAACACCCCAGAAAACAAAGTCAGGATCCAAAAAGATCTTGACAAACCTGAACAATGGGCCCTATCCAACAAAATGAGTTTCAATATGGAAAAAAGCAAAGTTTTACATTTAGGTAGGAAAAATTAAAGCTACAAGACCTGGCTTAAAAACAGTAACTGTGAGAGGGATCTTGGAGTCCTAGTGGACGATCACTTAATCATGAACCAGCAGTGTGCAGCAGCAACCAAAAAAGCTAATACAATCCTGGGTTGTATAAACAGGCATAGAATCAAGATCACACGAAGTATTTGTACCACTTTATAAAACCCTAGTAAGACCACACTTGGAATACTGCAGCCAATTTTCATCACCATACTACAAAAAAAGATGTTGAGACCTTGGAAAAAGTTCAGAGAAGAGCAACTAAAATGACCAAAGGCCTAGCGACTAAAACATACGAAGAACGGCTGCAGGGTTTGGCTAGTCTAAAGAAAAGAAGAAATAGGGGAGACATGATAGCAGTATTCCAGTATCTGAGGGGCTGCCACAAAGAAGAGGGGATCACATTATTCACCAAAGCACCAGAAGGCAGGACAAGAAACAATGGTGTATGTGTATGTGTGTGTGTCAGACGAGAAGCAAGATGATTGCATGCTGCAGGATGAACGCTCTGAGCAGGCAGGGCAAGTGGACAGAGGTAGAGCGCCAAAACTCAAACAGACATCAGTGAACCCAACTGAAACAATGCAACTGATTACGGGAGGGCAGTGACTGAACAGATCTGTAACACGCTCATTAGCTAAACTACTGGCTTCACAGAGACTATAAGAACTTTGTTCTCCAGTCCTGGCTTAAACTCTGACAATGTCAGCAGGTGCTGACGAAAGCTCAGTTTTAATAAATTTATATATAGAGGCACAATATATATAGAGACACAATATATATATATACACGCACATCCATTGTTTCAGAGATATTCCCTTACATAACACTTGTACATCCTCCCCATCCCATGTTGTGACTCTCAGGCATCCTCACCCCACACACCCTCCCTAACCAGAGCCACACCCTTGTGCAATCTCCTTGACCTGAATGTGTGGTCCCTCTCATGTATCCCTTTGCACTCTCATGCACCCTTCCCAACATGGAGCTCTCAAAGACCCCCTGACCAACATGGTGCCTCTTATGGAGGGCACACAAGATGCACTGGAGGTGCTACACAGGTTGGGGAGACTGCATGGGAGTACAGTGTGGGTCAGGAAGTGTACATAAGTGTGCATAAGAGGATGCTACGGAAGTTAAGGAGGACATGATGGATATGTGGTGGTGTGTAGGAGTTGTCATGTGGATTGTAAAGGGTGCATGGGTATGTGCAATTGGCAGCCTCTAGAAAGCTCTCAGTGGCGAGTGCTACCAGATCTGGGCTGCAAAGCCCCAAGCAACCGCTAGATGTCAGTATTGTAACAAGACAACAAAAGCTTCATCTTTTTTGGCCAGCTGGCGCTGTCCGCAACATTGTAGCCCAGATTAACTGGTCGTAATGACGACCTACTTTGCCTTTTAAAAAAGAATCAGGAAAACTAAGGAAAGCACGAAACTAGCTTCTTCTACTTCGTCTTTCTCGCTATAGGGAATCAGAAGAGCGGATGCAGAAAGACGCGCAAGAAGAAAAGACGGCAGCCTCATAAATCTCACGCGTTGCCCGCGGCGCATGCGCTCGTGGTGGGTCAGTGCCTTTGCTTCTCCGCTTCCTGCTAGCTCCGGGGCAGCTGGGCAAAGCCAGCGTGTGCAAAAACTGCAACAGGTGAGGTGAGGCGTGAGGGGCGGCCGGGCGGGGCTCCGTTTCCTCGTTTAAAAGGGTGCACCGAAAGAGCCCCCGCCTTCTTCTTCCCTCCACGTCTCGCGAAGCTGTCCCCTGCTTTTGGGCCGCCCTGCGCTAAGCTGGTTCCGACGATTTCCTTTTCTGCAAGCAGCCGGGGAGGGGTCTCTTGAGAAGGACTGGCAGCCCTCCTCCCGTTTCTCTTCGGCGACTTCCTACAGAAGGAAAAGGTTGGCTTTCTTTTCTCCTACCTTGTCACGAATGTAAGCGGAGAAATAACGGGAGCGTCTGGCTCTTGCGTATAAAGGGAAAAGAGCCGAGGAAGGAGGGGGGCTTCGTTGGTTGCAGTTTAGGAAATAAACAGCACACGCCTCGGGCTCTTCCGGTTTGACTCGAGTCTTCGGGGAGGGGTGGAGAATGGGGAGCTGCGGGACAGGGTCGCCAGCTAGGTTTTCTTAAGGAAAAAAAAAAAAAATCAAGATTTTGCGTTCAACCAAACCTAGGTTCTACACAAAAGACCCAGATTTTAAAAATTCCACAATCCGTTTTGAACTAAATTATTTTTACCTATTTAATACGTACAGTATAATGTAAGTACTGTATAGAACAACTTACATTTTAAAGTAAAAGAAAACAAACCTAGAAATCTGGATAGAAAAACTCAGATCTGGATTTAAAAACCCAGCATTGGCAACCCTGCCCGGGAGTCATGAACTGCGAATAGGGTGCCTTCCCTAGACCAGGGGTAGGCAACCTTGGCTCTTTTATGACTCGTGGACTTCAACTCCCAGAAGCTCAGGAATTCTGGGAGTTGAAGTCCACGAGTCATAAAAGAGCCAAGGTTGCCTACCCCTGTCCTAGACTTTAGGAGGGAGTAGAACATCTGTGAATCTCTCCCAACTGGGAAAAGATAGCATCGTGGTTAATGGCTTGCTCAAAAATCTAGGGAAGAATGTAATTGGTTTTTATCATATGTTTCCTGGATCTGCTTTCCTTTATAACCAAGCAAAATATGTTGCGATTTATGTGAGCTGCTGAGTGAGAAATACATTTTGATTCTAGGCCAGATCTTCGAAGCAGAAACCTTACTTATCATAGTACAGTAACTTTCTAAAGGAAAACAAATCATACAAAGTTTTTTGTTGATGTGCTGATTTGTTTGGGCATTTTGGGTTAGAAGCATCTCATAATTCATCCCTTCAAATTAAATGAGATTTAAACTTTCCCACGGGCTCAATTGTTCAATATGCTGTTAAGTTTTATTAATGTTGTTCTGCACAATATGTGTAGATTATGCTGAGAAATAATTTCTGACAGTGCCATTCTTCCTATGTTAAGCATTCAGAAACCTCTATAGTGTTGGTCCTCTGTTATTTCTAGGTCTTTTATATTCATATTGTATATTTTGTTCTTTTATGCTTTTGTAATAGGTTCATTATGATTTATATTAGCACTTTAGATGCTGGAAAGATTCAATAGTGTTAAAGAGATTTATCAAGGACTGTAATACTTTTTAGAATGTAGCTTGAAAAAATGCTGGTACCAAGAAGGTATAAGTGAGAATGACACGTTGATATGAGTTCCTATTTGCCTGCAAGTGATGAGAGCAACTTTGCTGTTTTTTCAGATAATTGTACATACCTGCAGCAAATGTAAAGAACAAATTAAGCCTGCAAATAAATTGAGAAGAAAATAAATTAGTTCAAGATGAGTATTAAGGACACTTGCATGGGTGCTTCCTCTGAGAGAGGGGCATTAATAGGTTCTTTTATTACAGAAGGGTGACTTTGTTGTAAGTCTGGCAAGAAATCTTCAGACCGGAAAAATGACCTGATTTAGTATCCCCCATTATCAAACCGCAAACTGTTTCCACTTATTGGGAAAAAGATTGTAACAATCTATTTTTTAAAAAAAAATCTTGGTGTTGTGAAAGAATCCCTGACATTTTTTGAAGAGGCAGACAGAATAAACATGTATGCTACTTACCAAAATGAATGTCCTCATTTGTATTATATGTAATACATATTTCTTTGACAAATGCAGTAAGGTCTCATATGCACTTTCTCTTGACAAAATTCCCAGTTATAATCCATTTCCTTCTGTGAGTAGTCCTCAGTGAACCTCTGGTAAGGCAGATGAGACTGCTTGTTTTCTAGTCTAGATCAAAATGCTTCAGGAGATGAAGTTAAACGCAAGGGAGATGCCAAGTCAGTGGGATAAGGATAGAGGATACAGTACTTACATTTTACCCAAACAGTATCAAAACTTGGCTCTTGTTCCAGACTTTTTGCCTGACAGTGAGTTTCATGCATTATTCTACCATATCCACTTATTTTGACTAGCGTATACTGCACATTTTCCCCACCAATGGGGATAAATTTAGAGTCAGGGATATTGATAAGAGTTACCTTTGTGAATTTATGTACCTATACTGTAATCACAACAAGGATATTGCAACAATTGATGCAAAATGTGGTAGGCAAAAACTTTCCAGGCATGAGATTTTAACACTAGCAGTGAGCAAAAAAACAAGAGCCCAAAATTTGGCAGAAAGTGCCCTACAGCAATTTTCAAGGATAGAATCTCTGTGTCCCTCTTGTAAACTTGGCAGCACTCTCCAGTTTTCAGAGCTGCAACTTGGTTTTATTATTTAGATATTTAATACTGTAGATCACATTTTGTATAACTTTTGATGTTGCACATTGAGTCTTCAGTTTCCTTCAAAAGCAATCCTTTCCTTCCAAATTAAAAAATGATGTGCAGTATTTATTTTAGATGTATTCCTTGAATTTCCAGTTTTCATTTTTGTCTTGTAAAAATGGATAGCATTTATTTTAATTATTTTCCCCTTGCTCTTTGGACCATGTCTCTAATAACATTTGGGGCAGCCCTGCAATCAACATGACACCATGAAAGACCATACCACAGAAATGGACTTTATTCATACTTGATTGATTCCCTTCTTTTTCAGTGAATACCATGAAACCATTTTAAATGACAGATAAAATAACACATTCCTCCAGCAAAATTATGATGGAGGTCGGGAAGTGGCCTATATTTACATTGCTTTCACCTCAAGAAATTGCAACTATTCGAAAAGCATGTGTATTTGGAACATCTGCCAATGAAGCTATATATATTACCCACAGTGATGAAGTAAGTAGTAAGTAGTACTTACACAGATGTGTTCTGCCTATAACATTGTTTTGATATCTAGTGGTAATATAAAAATAGCAAACTTTTGATTTAAGTTTGCAATAGCATATCTGTAGAATTAATCAGTATTTAAAACATAAATCTCAGAGTTTAAAGAAGATGAATATTGCAGTTTCTTTGTTACAGGCTAAAATTAATATTTGTGACCCACCAGGAAAAAAACCTGAGCATAGAGTACTTTCCACTGAGCAAATATGTTTCTCTTGCCTCAGAAAACAAGGTTTTATAAAATAAGTAGCCACAGGTAGGATTCACTTCCTACTTTTATTTGCTTTCAAATATCCTGTATACAATTACAGAACAAAAATTCTGTAACTCCAAAACAAAACCTTTTTTTTTCCAGAAGGCTGTCCTGTGTTCATATCTCTATGGAGGGCTTCATCAGGGAATAGACAATAGGATTCCATTCTGAATCTGAAGCCAAGGGTGCAGTGAATTCCTCCCATGAAGTCCAGTCCAGATTGCTTCTCTTTCTTTGCCGCACATCTCCATTTCTGCACTTTTTTTTTTTTACAAAGTACTGTAGCCTGCAGCTAGGACATACCAGGGTTGGGAAGGCTGTTCTGTGATTTTTACTTTAGATTTCCTGTCTGTGTAGTTTGTTTGCATAGATGTTCAGTGCCTTGGATTTGCAACTGGTCCAATACATTAACATCCTGGAAATTAATCTGGTGCCTTCTCTCTCTGGCTGTTGGGGGTACCCAAGAATTTCTTATGAAAGAACTGATTTCCTCCCTCTCTATTCAGCAGAGGTCTAGCAGGAGATCACAGGATGAAACTGCTGTGTTCTGGAGTGAGACTAAAAGACACTTGAGTTGAGTTGCTTTCTGCAAAAATCCTAAAATGTTAATGGTGCCCTAGAAAACTAATGAGGGGCCACTAATGTCAGTGGATTTAAACTGTGAGCCTCTGTTTAATGCTTGAGTTGCATGACATTTCTTGTTTAGAGGTGGGATGGGGAGAGAAGTAGCTTGTTCTAAGCAGCTTGATTCCAGGAATCCATGGAGTATTAAGCAGACAGGAGGTCTAGAGGCTGATTCAGACCATGCATGGAGGGACAATAAAGAAGGAAGCTAGAGTCCATTCAGGTAGACAGTGGGAGGATTGAGAAGCATTGGAAAATTAATGACTTGGTAGAAGACGGACGGGAAAGGGAGAGAAAGAGACAATCCCAGTTCAAAATATGGATGTATGTTGAGCTGCCTTACTCTTGCATTGCTATGGGAGAGTGGGCCAATGCACACATCTTTTTCTGTGCTGAAAGGCATCTTTAAATTTTGAGTGCTAGGCCAGGTGTTGCATATGAAAAAAGGAATGGAACAAAAAAGTAATTGCAACTTAGTTATTTCTTTTAAAACAAGTTTGGAGGTTATTGTGGCCAAACCTTCACATTGCACATCCTTCAGCCCTTCAAGGTGGCCAAGTCAGGAAACAGACTGCTCAAGAGTGATCAGTCTCTACTGAGATAGGCAATAGCAACAAAATCTTGAAATGCCTGGTTGTGTTTGCTTTTCCCTCCCTCTGATTCCCAAAGGAGTTAAGGCTAAGTCAGCTTAAGTTTCTTTTCAAGCTTTCTCTTTCTTTTTTGGAGTTGAATCATGTTGTTGACTGTTGCATTGCTTCTCCAAGCAATCTACACCTGACAGGAGCAAGTTACTTTACATGTTAGAATACAAATCACAGAGACACACTTCTGTCCTCTAACAAAAGGACATGTCTATATGGGGACTATTATTACTGTCTGCATCAGGTGTTAAATAAAATATATTTTGGTCACACCCCCATATATTAAGGGCAACTTTACAAGATCTGACTGGTTTCAAACCAGAAAACAGCCAGGAACTCTCCTTTCTGTAAGTTGAAATAAATAAAAACTAAAATTAGATCAGTGATCTTAAAATGAATAATTATCCAAGTGTTATGAGTCACTGCAGGTTAAGAAAGTACTTCAAACTCTGCTATAGGAAGCTACTTTGCTACTTTGTACAAAAATAGCTACATATAGCTATTTTGCTACCTGAAAACACAGAAAATAATGAAACATAAACCACATAAAAGATTAGTTGGAGACTTTGGTGGCAACCCCAAATCAGTTAAATAAAAATCTCATTCATGCACAGTTTGCTGGATATTGAATGTTTTTGGGGTCTATGTTATACCAAAGACATGCTATGCCATGTTTTTCCAAGCATGATGCCCAATATTGAACTGATCCTATTAAAGATATGTTGCAGCTACACTGTAGAAGATGACATCTTACCACATCTTTTTTAAAAGCTTTTTATTAGCAATAAAATACTTTGCATGGAAGGTTTGGTCTTTAAACAAATCCATCAAAGAACTGGGTTTTTTAACATACTGAACGACTCTTATTTTTTTCATGCAAGACTTCAGATAGATATAGTTTCTGTAGACTAAGCTTAATTCCTGATGGGCCTGTCCATGTAGTTATTGGCAACAGTTTTCCGCCTCCTCCTCTTCCTCCACCCTTCCCTCCATAGCTTTAATATTCCTACTCGTCTCTCCTTTAAATATTAAACATGAAATATATGCTGAGGCTTTTGACATCAACCAGTTGAATTGATGCTGTCACTTTATTTTAGTGAAATCTTACTTTAGCATATTAATTGTGGGATTGGATGTCCATTTTTTTGTAAATATCCGCTGGGCTTGGGAGGTGCTGCAGTGCAGGCCTTGGGCCTGTGCTAGGTTTCCCAGGCCTCCCCCATCTCCAAGGCACCTTGTGTTCGACTTAATAGTTGCAAAGGGAAGAGTAGGGATTGGGATGGTTAAACAAGGCCATTACATGGGCACCTCATTTAACAACAATCATGGTTTATGACTGTAATGGATAGGCTCCATTATGGTTGTAAGTTGAGGACTACCTGTATTTAGAATAAAGAAAAAAAGGGGGGGAGCAAAAAGCAAGCAAGCAAGAAAATACAAAGAAGTTAACTTCTGATTTTCTTAATAACCATTGTAAATATAGAAGTTACTTTTTTACTCTATGGTTAAAGCATGACTTATATTTTTGTGTTATTTTCTAATCATCAAAACTATTTTATTTTCATGCAAAAACATAAGGGATTTCTAGTCAGCATTAAGCTTAGATAATATCTTTTGTCTGATTAGAGTTGTCAATTTGATCATCTTAGCAAGTCCCATCTTCACCATCCATTCCTCCATTGTGAATAATGACAATTTTTTTCTACCTTTGTGTATATAAATCTCACTGCAGGTATCATGTATGAAAAAGTTGCATGACTTTTTCCCAAGTGTTTATTGATCAGTCCCAAAAGCAAAGCCTCTAATTTCAATTGTATAATAATCTTTAAAATCTTATGAATTAATATATATAATTAAGTCTATTTATTATTTTTTGCACATCCATTAAACATAATAACATTTCTCCTCTTGTTTATATTTACAACATAAATTTCCAGTACCTTTATAATTGTAGATATTTTTTCTAGTGACAGATACCAACAAAGAGAATTTTTATAAAATGATATATTAAGATTATAACATAATGTAAATTTCAGTCCTTTCAACCACAAAGCATTTCATTCTGAGGGGACAGAATATTGATGGTCCCTGGGTTTGATAGGAAGATCATAAATATCCAGACCCACTTGTGTCATTATGTATCTATCCTCCACTATTCAAAGTAAAACAGAAAAAGTCAATTGGTCATTTGGAAGCATTTTCAGCTTGAAACTGTTTTAAGCCCAAGACACTTCCAAATAGCCTGCCTGAATTTGAAATAATGTATAGCAGACATGTCAAACACAAGGTCCGGGGACCGGATGCGGCCTACAAAGTGGTTTCATGAGGCCTGCGAAGCCATCCTGGAAACAGTGAGGGAATGGCCCCCTCTTCCTTGGCCCTGGCCCAGGCCGGCTGGGAGCCAATGTACAATTTTGTGGTGGCCATCTATGCTGAAACGCATTCAGTCTTAGCTCCATAAGCCCCCCCCCCGCATGGCCTGAGAGGAACAGTGAGGCTTGGCACTTGTCCCGATCCCACCCCCTTCTGCCAGAGACCCTCAGTTCTACCCCACTTCTACCCAGATCTCCACAGGCACCCTTGATACGAACAATGTAGAGCTGGCCACACCCACCCAGTAAGCTACACCCATTCCATCCACGCCCACCCAGTAAGCACCCACCCTGGCCACACCCACCCGGCCCTCTGAGGGCAACCGCGATGCTGATGCGGCCCTCAATGAAATTGAGTTTGACAACCCTGATGTATAGTCTCTTAAACCTGATTTATCTTCTATCCGTACCTTATTCCATATTTATTATAAATTTTGGTTTTATTACAAATCTTGTTATATACCACAAAGTCAGTTTAGATTGTTTTTTAATGTGCCATAAATGAACATATCCATATCAGCTCATTAGTTTTGCTTTTTTTTTTCCCCAGGTTTTTGTATTTGGACTAAACTGCAGTAATTGTCTGGGAACTGGAGATAATCAGAGTACTATTGTACCAAAAAAACTTGAAAGTTTATGTGGAAAGAGGATCTGCAGTCTTAGCTATGGAAGTGGGCCTCATGTAATCCTTAATACAGAAGGTGGGAAACTTTTTCTGAGCAGTATTAGAGAGGCAAATCTAAGCACGTGTTTCTTAGTTAGGGAACTGGAGCATGCAAAAATGGTTGTAGTGAGGGAGTCTGCCACTGTCACTGAGGCCCATCATCTCAGTGTGAATTGCATCTGCCATTTTGCTTCTCCTGAACTAGGCTGGACAGACCTTTTGCAGCCAGGGGCTGCATCTTTTTTTGATGAGGTTTTCTCAGTGACTGAGGATCATAGGGTGGTGGCAGCATAATTATATCTCCACAGGAGACAGAAATTGAATGTTCACTCCTTTTTAATTTTTTTAAAATATTGTGTAACAACATTCCTTGGGTCAATAAGTATTTAGAAGTTAGGTTTTTAAAACTAAAGTAGGTGCATGCTTAAAGCCTGTTGGAAGTTTAATTTACCATCATGCTGGATAACATATGCTCATTTAAGTTCCTTTAGTTGATTGATAAATTATATCCCATCAAGTTGCTGTCAACTCTTACCAACCAATAGATGATTTGTCCCCCACCTGTAAGATGATTTGTCCCCCACCTAGCTCCAGATCTTCCAACCGTGCACCCATTGGTGTTGCAACTAAGTTCAACCATCCATCTTGCTTCTGGTCATCTTCTTTCTTTCCATTTTTTGTAGCATTATAAACTTCTCAAGAGAGTCAGATTTTTGCATAATGAAGTTCCTGGGTTAAAATAACTGTAATGTTTAACATGGATAAATGTATGTGATAAGCTTTAAAATGGAGATTATATTGCTCATTTACATTCTTCACATTGCAGAAAGAATGTGTGTGTGCATTTAATGCGCATACTAATCGCTGTTTAACTTTTTTCCAGTCAAATAATGCCAAGTCAAGTTTTTTAGTACCACTGCCTTATCCTCCCATAAAATAAGTTATTAGAGGAATGACCTTAATAATCATAATAGGTAGATAAAAAAGCCAAATTTAGTCTACATATCTGACTGGCTATGTAACCAAGCATAATAAAAGTGACTATTAAAATACAATAATCTTGTTTTGTCTGAGTAGGTGTACAAATGTTGCCTAATTGCATGTTTCACTATCGTTACTTTTGTTTATTCTTGGGTAGATGGTGAAGTTTATGCCTGGGGACATAATGGATATAGTCAGCTTGGGAATGGGACAACCAACCAGGGTGTGACGCCTATTCAGATTTCTACTAATTTGCTCATTAAGAAAGTAACCGAAGTAGCTTGTGGTTCCCACCATTCTCTTGCATTATCCTCTGATGGAGATGTAAGTTCTGCTTTTCTAACTAGCTCTTCAGGTTTTTGCTGTTAAGAATGTACTTTTGTTTGGTAAATGTTTGAAAATTGTCCTTGAAGAAAGGGTATTGATACTACCATTAATCTGTGTTTTCTTAATGAACTATTTCAGATTTTATCTTAACAATAAAAATTCTTATCTTTATAGAGGAAATCAGCTATCTGTTGACAATCTGATTTAATGGGGATTTTATATTTTCTGCAAATATTCAGTGGCAACAATTAAAAAAAACACCAAGGTTTCATGTATAAAAATAGAGGTTGAATGGACTTCCTTGATGCAGTGCCCTGTGAGACAGTGACCTATTTTCTTTTGATCCAATAGAAGGCTTTCTGATTCAAAAATGAAACTTGAAATAATGATGCTGGAATTTCCCCTTTGTTTGGGAAATAATAAGTGCTGTAATTACTAATTTTTTCAGCTGGATAGAATAAACTTTATAGATATACTAGACCCGTTTTAGTAAGAAGAGGGCCAGTTTCAGAAAAATAGATGCAGAAATTTGGAACTTGGCTCCTTGAAATTGTGTGGGTATGCCTTTAAGGAAAGTGTCTGGTTCTGGGACAACATTGTCAAACATTGGGGTCTCTTCTGTGAGACTGAGCCTCTTTAATTTCATACCTGACATGTATGTTGTTTTGCACAAAGGGGATATTGTTCCATTTCAAGCCTTGAAAGTTTGCGGTTAAGTTTTGAAGTCATCAGATATAAATCTTTGAAAATTGCCTAGTACGGAAGTTCTGTAACCTTTGCCAAGCAGTTTACCTTTTATCATTGTTCATGAGTTGAAGGCTGTTTTTTCTGTTTACCTACCTTCCTTCCTTCCTTCCTTCCTTCCTTCCTTCCTTCCTTCCTTCCTTCCTTCCTTCCTTCCTTCCTTCCCATTCATCATAGTGGTGTGTAGTGTGTTCTCTTATTGTCTTCTTCCTCCTCTAGTAATAAGAATTGGGCCATCTAACAGTAATGAGCACACAAGCTTGTACTATCAGATTTATTTATTTATTTATTGTTAGAAGAAGAATTAGGAAGAAAAGAAAATGTACTCTCATGTTGCTGTAAGCATATTTGGGGCTTTCTTTAAGGTAGAATACAGTTGCCTCTCTTTTCCTTCCTTTTTTTTCCTTTTGAAAAATGCAGAAAAGACTTGGTGGATAGAAGGCAACCCATCTCTAATGCATGGGCCCTAACTTAGAATGAGAAGTCGGGTAAAATCAGAGGAGGAAGATTGTGTTGTCCATCCTCTACCAGTGAATGCTGGAAGCCGAGAAAAATGCAGTCGGACATTGGAGGAAGGCAAACAATTCAAAGCTGATGTCTGCCTTTTCCTTTATCCAGTGAATCTGGGCCATTCCTTCATCCAGGGCTGAACATTTAACTTGTGAAACTGTATTTAAAGTGTCTGTCTTTAGGAAAAAAGTAGTAAGAGGCATTGATTCCAAATGGGATCCCTCTTGATTGGGTCCCTAATTTCTTGCAGAAAAATGTTCGCTTTCTAACTGAAGATTTACCTAGAAGCATTATATGCTACAAGGTAATATGTATACTCTTTCATTAGCCAAGTGTGTTAGAAGAGACGCCCATATCAATGGCTTTGTGTTATCAGCAATTAGAATAATAATCACATCGGTATTTTGAAATATATCATAAATGGCCATGCTACTTGTCTGTGGCTTGTAAAACGAATTATTTTGGTACCTGCACTGTTAAACAGTATATGCTTTGGGAAAAGGTTTCTGCTCATGTAGTAAGGTTTGTGGTGTGTTTCTTGATGTCTCTCCCTTTTCGTCCTTTATTAAAAGGTATATGCCTGGGGCTATAACAACTGTGGACAAGTTGGGTCAGGATCAACTGCAAATCAGCCAACTCCTCGCAGAGTCTCCAATTGCTTACAGGCTAAGGTAGCAGTCAGCATTGCCTGCGGTCAAACTTCTTCTGTTGTGGTCATAGATAATGGGGAGGTAAGCATTTGGTGGCCTTCTACATTTGCCTCTGATTCTGCAGACAGAAGTGTTCCTGTATAAGCCTTTCATAGAAAACGTACAACAAAGTCTTGTTTAGTTATTGGGATTTAAAAAACAAAACAAGAACCTCATCTACTTGTTCCGCAGGTCAAGATTACATTTTACTTTGTTGCGCAAGGTTGTTTTCCTCACTAGAGCCTGTTTCTGACAATAATTCTGGAGGATTTTCTGGTGGCAGTGAAAATGGCACATATTGGTGAAGTGGGGGGCAATTTTCAGTCAATTTCCCTCCCTTGCATCCTTTAAAATTCTCTGGAAGATATGAACTGGCACAGAATTTATGAATTACCTAAACCTTCCAAATTTTTCATATTAAATTTGGGAAAAAAATGCTTAAAAAAAGCATATTTGTCAAATAAAATACAAAGATTGTTTTAAAAAATTATGAGAAGTTATAAAGCATCAAATGTCTATCTCTGTTCAGTGAGAAAACCTTCTGCCTCAAAGCCTTGAATTTCAGCCAATTGTGTGAGACGGTACAGTACATTTGAAGTGAACCCAAAAATAAAATAGAAATGAGTGATATGGGGAGATGAGCTAAGGAGTTGCAGAATGAAGACAAATGTTGATCTTGCTCTTCTGGAGACTGGCTAGATTCCTTACCTTTTTGTTCTCTTTAAACACACGTCCAATTAAAGTAGTTTCAGAAGTAGATATGGGCAATTCAGAGAAATTCTCTGAAATTCTACAGCCTTGGTAATATCTGGGAGAAGATGGCTTGTCTCCAATTTGTGAGGCCTTTTGACTTACATCTCTTATCATTCTTTGCTCTATAGTTTTATTATCCAGGGCTGTTTTCCAAGTAGTACAGGCCTTGTTTATTTCAATTTCCATTTAAGAAGTGCTGCTACCAGATCTAGGATTCAGTGACAATAAGCTCAAACTTGTGTGAATGCCAACAAGTTTTACTAGGAATAAACTCAGTTATAGGTGAAAAGGAAATAGTCCTGTCTGTGTTCCTTCAGTTTGTCGGAAACTTCCAGAATGATAGTGGACAAGCTGGAACTGGCTGAAAGCTGCGTACCATCTTCCTGAATCATAACTTAGCCAGCTGATCTACTGCCTAAGATACTTTATGTAAGGCACTGTTGCTAGAGTACAACACCTAGAGACAGTCCAATGACATTTCTTGTCAATAGCAGTTAGTCTTCCTTCCAGTGAGGTATTGTCTCTAACATGCCAGTATTCATCCTCCCCTCTGCGTGTGTTGAACTAGGAAGTTATGCTAATTCTCTTTATCTTAATTGTTACTAGTAGTGATACAGATAAAAGGTTTAGACACAGGGATGGTTGCATAAAAAACACAGTCACTGCTGAAGTACCTTTTATAAGCGTAGATATAGAATATCTGTCTTATATGTGCAAATAGAAAGCAGATCATGCTATTAACACCTGCTTATCTTCCACAATGGAGAGTAGCATTGATCCAATCCTTCTTTCATAGGAAATCATCTAAACCACCCCAAAATAACCTGTAAAATATGGGAAACATTTTCTACCCTTGTAAAAAATATAAAATCAAGATTTCTCCTCTGAAATAGAGTATTTATGAACATAGGAAATGAGAAAGAAAATAGTACAATATTTTGTTTTAAAATCAGGTTTCTTTCAGTGTATTATACTTCAAAGTTTTTGAACTTCTGCTAGTTTATCACTTCTTTCATAAATTCTGGAGCACCGGGGAAGTACCTGAGGATTGGAAAAGGGCTGATGTGGTCCCCATCTTCAAAAAAGGGGAAATAAACGGACCCAGGAAACTACAGACCAATCAGTTTAACATCAATATCTGGGAAGATCCTAGAAAAGATAATAAAAAACAGATCTGCGAACAACTAGAAGAATAACTAGTAGCCAGCACGGGTTTGTTAAAAACAGATCATGCCAAACCAATCTTACCTCATTCTTTGAAAAAGTGACTAAACTAGTAGACCAATGAAATGCAGTAGTATACTTAGATTTCAGTAAGGCACTTGATAAAGTAGACCATAACCTACTCCTTGGTAAGCTAGGAAAAGGTGGAATAGACAACATCACCACCAGATGGATCTGTAGCTGGCTGACAAACCGTACTCAACGAGTAGTCCTCAATGGCACTACATCCACATGGAGAGAAGTAAGCAGTGGGATACCACAAGGTTCCATCTTAGGCCTAGTACTCTTCGATATCTCCATAAATGACTTAGATAAGGGAATTGAAGGGGAATTCGTCAAATTTGCAGATGACACCAAACTGACAGGAGTAGCCAACACCCCAGAAGACAAAGTCAGGATCCAAAAAGATCTTGACAAACTTGAACAATGGGCCGTATCCAACAAAACGAGTTTCAGTATGGAAAAAAGCAAAGTCTTACATTTAAGCAGGAAAAACCAAAGGTACAAATACAGATTTGGTGAGACCTGGCTTAAAAACAGTAACTGTGAGAAGGACCTTGGAGTCCTAGTGGACGATCACTTGACTATGAGCCAGCAGTGTGCAGCAGCAACCAAAAAAGCTAATACAATCCTGGGTTGTATAAACAGAGGCATAGAATAAAGATCACACGAAGTATTCGTACCACTTTATAAAACCCCTAGTAAGACCACACCTGGAATACTGCAGCCCATTTTGGTCACCATATCACAGAAAAGATGTTGAGAGTTTGGAAAAAATTCAGAGAAGAGCAACTAAGATGATCAAAGGCCTGGAGACCAAAACATACGAAGAAGGGCTGGGTTTGGCTAGTCTAAAGAAAAGAAGAAATAGGGGGGACATGATAGCAATATTCCTGTACTTGAGGGGCTGCCACAAGGCAGAGGGGCCAGGTTGTTCATCAAAGCACCAGAGGGAAGGATGAGATAGAATGGTTGGAAACTGATCAAAGAGAGAAGCAACCTGGAACTAAGGAGAAACTTCCTGACAGTGAGGACAATCAACCAGTGGAACAGCTTACTCCCAGAATCGTGGGCGCTCCATCACTGGAGATTATTAAGAAGAGACTAGACATTCACCTGTCTGAGATGGTGAGCTCCTGTTTCTCTCTTCCAACTCTATTCTATTCTTCCAGAACAGGAGCTCTTTGGATACAAATAATGTAAATGGTTAATTAACCTCCTTCTCACTCCAGGTTTATGGCTGGGGCTACAATGGCAATGGACAACTGGGTCTGGGAAATAACGGCAATCAGTTAACTCCATGCCGAGTGGCAGCTCTTCAAGGGGTTTGTGTAATGCAGGTGAGTATAGAGATCTTTCTTTTCTGTTTCTTGAATGATTGTTGGGAAATTGTCCCTAATCTTGGGAAGATTCATTGTTAAGGAGAAAAGAGCAGTGTAACCTCTACCCAACTAATCTCTTCCTGTTTTTTTAATAAGTGGATAGGAAGTTATGCACGGTGAATGTTTTGTTTTTAAACTGTGCAGACAGCTGCATTCTTAGATGATCCTGGAGAATGATCTTGGGATATTTAGAGCAAATGAAAAGTTTCCTGAAAGCTTGACCAAAATTAGGTGTAGCCAAATCAGTTTTAGTCCCTTGGCCTTTATCTTTTGCCCATCATACTCTATAAGAAATCTTGTCCTTCTCTTCTGTTCATTATGGATGGCTCTGATGAATTTCTATGGCTTAAGTATGCCATTTGTGACAAGAACTGAGCATTGATTGGTCTGTACTGTTGCCTGGCAGAATAATTGCTGTTCATTTGGAATCTGCATAATAAACAACAAGTAGTATCTGAAGTACAAAATCAGAGCTGTGGTGCAGGTATTCAGGGTACACATTCTTGAATATTTTGTGTGTTTCAGCTTTTCCAGCATGTTTGATTGTCTTGGCTTCAGTAATAACAGGCACTAGCAGGAACAATTAAGGGTACAGGTAGTCCTCAACTTATAATTGAGCCAGGAATGCTGGTCATAAGTCATTGCAGTTGTAAGTTGAGTTACCACATGACCAGACTCAATTATACAACTTTTTATGATGTTAAGCGAGTTACTGCGTCACACAGTCATAAGTTCAAATCCAGCTTATCCAATGGCATCTTTGCTGGAAAATGATAAAAATGTTGCAAAACGGGATCATATGACTGCAGGATGCTGCAAACAGCTATAAATGCAAACCAGCTGCCAAGCACCCAAAAGTGCAGCAGCTGCCATAACTTCATGGATGGGTTGCAACTAACTTTTTTCAAGTTCGTTGTAACTTTGAATAATCATTTAGTTCTAAATCAAGAACTACCTGCAAGTGCTGCAGACCTCCTGTGAATGCCTCATCTCTGCTCTTCATTAAGGCAGCCCACATTTTCCAGATTTGAGATTGTAAAAGAAAGCTGCTACCTAATGGAATCCACCCATTAAAATGAAGGTGATTCTAATTGTCCTTTTTCAGTCTCATCTGGGAGCCTGGAAAAGAATTCATGAAGAGCAAAAAGATGCTGTGTTTGCTAGAGGTTGTTTCCCCCTGATAATTGTGGAAGTGTGCACAGCCATAGTAGTGGTATAGATTTTGTGTTGAAGAATTACCAATCAGCCTTTAGAGACTAGCCAATTGATACCTAAGTATGGTACAAAACTGTTAATAACTGAAGCTTTTATGCCTCCTATAAGGGTTTCTCTTCTAGCACGTCAAGCATGCAGCTTGTATTATGCTTCAGTGAATAAACTCCTTTCACTGCTGTCCTGGAGTGGTATGTATACTAACTCCTGCCTTCTTTACAAACTTATTTGCAGATTGTCTGTGGCTATGCACACACGCTAGCACTAACAGATGAGGGTTTACTGTATGCCTGGGGAGCAAACACTTACGGGCAGTTGGGGACTGGCAACAAAAGCAACCATCTCAGCCCAGTGCAAATCATGATGGAAAAGGAGAGGTAAATGCCACTGCAGCCAATGCTTGGTGAGCTGGGAACAGGGTTGTTCTATCAGCTACCTCCAATTCATGGCTTTGGAAAACAGATTGGTACATGCAATTTGTTAATGAAGGCTTTGGGTTCAGGGGGAATAATCCAACATATAATACAAAAAGCCTCTTCCTGACTTCCCCCCATCCAGGCAGTGGCAGGTGAAGGTTAGCTGTAGCGCATGCCCCCCCCTCCCCGCTGCTACCACACATCATCCTGCACGCACATGCGGGACAATGTGGGGCAGCAGCAAAGGGTGGGCACATGCCAGATCGCACCTTCCCCCACTGCCACCGCCCCCACCAGCGCAAGGATGGGTGGCACAACTTTGCTTCCAGATCTGCTGCCTGATAACATCACCCCTCTTATACAGAGGCCAGCAAGCACATGGGGGCCGACGGTGTCCGTCAGCAGTCACAGCATGCTGGCTGTCCTGCATAATGGCAAACTGGCCATGGAGCCCCATCGGTCAAGCGGTGATGGCGCCGGGACGGCCAGAAGCCTGGCCCATCCACTCGACAACTCTGATGGAGGTGGCTTCCGCTGTTTCTCCGACCAGTCAACCATGCAGGAAGGAGGGACAGCTGGTGCGTGAGATCCGCTGTCTCGTCAAGCTGCCAGTGAGCAGCCGAGGTGGCTCCAGACCCCCGTCTACACCTACACCTCCTCCTGCTTCCCTGCATGGTTAACTGGTCTGAGCAGCAGCAGAAGCCACCCCCGTCAGAGCCGTTGAGTGGATGGGTCCAGGCCGGGCAAGGGCTTCCTTCCAGCCATCCTGCCTCCACCAGTGCAAGGATGAGCGGCACAGCTTCGTTTCCAGATCTGTTGCTGGCCGAGCTTGGCGATGCAGGGATCACTGCCGCCGCTTCCTGCTTCTCTGTGTGTTGGCCAGTCAAGGGGCTCCGAGCAGTAGGAGGAGCAGCAGCCGCTGCTCCCATCAGAGCCACCTATAGACAAGGCCCGCATCAGGTGAGCGCTCCTTTTCAGCTGTCCTGGGGCCATCTCTGCCCGGCCGATGGGGCTGCCATGATGCAGGACAGCCAGCAGGCTGTGGCTGCTGACGGACACTGTCGGCCCCCATGCGTTTGCTGGCCTCTGTGTGTGGGGGCCGATGGTGTCAGGCAGCAGCTGCTCCAGCCCCTGCCTCGCCTTGCCTTGCCCCGTGGCGATTGGCACACCTGCCTCGCCTCGCCTCACCCTGCAGCATGAGCCTCTGGCCCACTACCCCACCCGCCAGAGACCCCCTGGATCTCCCCTAACCTTGCCCGGCCCCCACAGACATCCCTCCCCCCACAAGCATCATTAAGGTGGCCACGCCCACCCAGTTGACCACGTCCCCAGCACCCAGCGATAAATGGGTTTTGGGTTACAGTTTGGGCACTCAGTCTCTAAAAGGTTCGCGGCAGTGATCCCTGCATCGCCAAGCTCGGCCAGCTAGGATATTAATTGCCAGCAGGCAATTTCTCTTGGGCTGCCAACACCTGATTCCTTTGCCCCAAAGGCTGTCTCTCCCTTGCAGTCAACTTCCATCTTCTCTGGGCTGTAGCCAGGGGCCACCCAGGGATATTTCAAGAGTCTTATCCCAGGATCATTTGGATAGGACAGACCTTCAGTGCTTCAGAGTGCCTAGAATTACGAGTCATCATTCCCCACTCTTCAAATCTTTCTCACCAGCTTCTTTTTTTCTTGTGAGAAAAAGTTGAACCCTAAGAAACAGTTTATCTCCAAAGTTATTTATCAGCTGCCTTGAGCTTCTTGGGTTACTCTGGGAGACTCCCAACAGTCAAATAAATTGCTATCAAATCAATAAAAGATAAAGATAAAGTTGGCAAGTGCAATGAAGTGAGGCCCCCTTAGTTACTTATTTTATATCCCACATGCCCAAAGATATATGGAACCATAATCCTTACCATCACCCACCAGTTGCTTAAATAAATTGTAGACAGCTGGATGGGGAAATATTTTTTTAAAAATCTGAAAAATATAAAGAAAATGTGTGTTTTATTTATTTATTTATTCAATTTCCATAGCTGCCCAACTCGATGAAGTGACTCTGTTTATGGGTTGTTTGTAAGCACAAACATTAGCACACACACATAGGAAAAAACTTGTTCTCTGAATCTGAAGAGGAAAGGATTAAGATGGTGAAGAAAAGACAGGTCCTTAACTGAGTTCTTCACAACAGGGCTAGAAGGGATCTTGGAGGTCTTCTAGTAGTTCAACCCCATGCTCAAGGCAGGAGCTTTATACCATCCAAGTCAAATGGATGTCCTATCTTCTTTTGAAAAATGATGAAGCATCCACAACACCTGACGGCAAGAAGTTTGTCGTTAGCTCCAGGTTAGAATTCTCTTAATGAGCTTCTCCCCACTGCTTCTTGTCTTATCAGGTGCTTTGGAAAATAAGTTGACTCCTCCTCTTTTCTGTGACTGGAAGTACTGGAAGATAAAGGAGGCTAAACATATCTAAGCTAAACATACTAGTGCCCTTAACTGTTAATTAGTTCAGCCTCCAGACACTTATCTGTGTTGTTCTTCTCTGTATACTTTCTAGGGTCACAGCATCTTTTTTTGTATTATTAGATACAGAACCGTATATTCCTATGTATAAGAGCTCACAGGTCAGTTATGTATTCTAGTCTATTCTATTCTGCTTTATTTTATTGTTTGTTATACATTTTTATCTTCATTTTCTTTACTCGGTAAGTATATTATCTGTGGGAGGTAACTAACCTTCAAGACTATACTGAGTTTTGGAACAAAATGATAGTGAAAGTAAAATCAGCCACCAAATGATCGGCCAGCATAAGAAGAACAGGACAAATGTGTCATCTCTGCAGCTGAATATTTGTGGTTTGCTTTTGTTCTTGTGTAGGGTCGTCGAGATTGCTGCTTGCCATTCTACTCACACATCTGCTGCCAAGACACAGAGTGGCTTAGTGTACATGTGGGGCCAGTGTCGGGGTCAGTCGGTGGTCCTGCCCCATGTTACCCACTTTTCCTGCACAGATGATGTGTTTGCTTGCTTTTCCACTCCTGCTGTGATGTGGCGTCTCCTCTCCGTTGGTGAGAGCTAGTTTCACTTAATGTCAGATGCAAAAGTGAAAATTTCTGATAGCCATGGATGGTTGTGTGGGAGAGGCCTGTAACGGCCTGTGACAATACTCTTGAGAGAAAAGAGGAAGAGCTGCAGTCTAGACAATTTTTTTTATATAAACAAAATCTGAGCCTCAACAAAGAATGGAATTTGAGAAAGCATCTCACAATTGACTCTCCATTCTTCTCCAGTATATAAAGGCTGGGGAGAAGGGAACTGCTTTCAGACTTGCAAAAGGCTGTGACCTTGCAATAAAAATAGTATTAATACTCATGGCTTTGGCTTTCAGTAGCACCTTTCCCACACAATCCTCACTCCCAGAACCATTTTGAGTGTTCTTGGACAGATGTGGGAAATGCCTATAACTTGTCTGAATTTATATGCAGGTATATTGCATATAATTTTTTTGTGTTTTTGAGGTTTGATACATGCATGATCAGGAAATAATGTTCACAGAATACTCATCAAATTATCCTGTTTGTAGAGCTGGACTATAGTGAATTTAACTTGCCATAAAATTAAAGTTATGACTTTTATAAAAAATTGGAACTAAAGTGTTGTGAACAAGTCAAAGGGCTTTTCACATGCTGCTGCTTGTTCCTGTACAGGCAGTTGGAAAAGTAGGGAGAATGGTGTAATTTATGACAAATCTGATTTACCTACCTAAATACTAAAATACTGATAATTTAAAAAAACCATGAAACATGGCATCTGAGGGGAACCATAGTACCCCAAATATTAAACTCTATTGGTTGTGTTAAAATTTAAGGTGCCACATTATTCTGTTTTTAATGATTCCCTTCTAGAATAGACTTATTTTATATTTCAGATCTGCCCAGTTACATGGAACACAATTTTTGATAAGGTTGATATCATCATATTTCCATTATAAATCTAAATGAAGTAGTGTGTTGATGAAAGCTATACTATATATAGTTTTAGATCATTGATCAGTTTTTACCTTTATGGGATACAGTACAGGAATGCTCTTGTAAAGCTAACAAAAACTTTTGTGTGTGAAATTGTTGAATCCTGGCATGAATAGACTCTTGTGTTCTTTTGGTGTTATAATTGTTTTTACAGAACATGAGGAATTTTTAACAGTGACAGAGTCTCTGAAGAGAGAATTTGATAGCCCTGAAACATCAGATCTAAAGTTTAGAGTGGATGGAAAATTCATTTATGTACATAAAGCCGTTTTAAAAATCAGGTAATGTTTATAATTAATCATCCAGATGGTTAAGAAATGCCTAGATCATCTTACTAATTTAGCTACTATATTTTGTTATGCATCTTTAATGAACTTGCCATTTTTACATTCTTTTTAATTGCCTAATATGTGATAGATGTTGAAATAAGATTAAGAATGGATTACTACTTCAATAGGTACTTTAAATTTGATTAAAATTAAAAGCATTGGATAACCTTTCATTTTGAGGCTATAGTTATACTCGATATAAAATATGGCTTTAATTACTCACAGCTATTAGGAAGAATCACGATGTTAACTGTTGTGAATATGATTGAACTGGTATTTTTAAAAGATATGTGAATTTTTAATACTGAATAGCTGACCCAAATTAATATTCATAAAAATCAAAATTTAGGCTGATTGAAAAATCAGTATGTAGAAAAAAGGTAAAGGTAGATCAAACTAAATCCAAAAACACTAAGGAATTTCTGGAAGCTTGGCATTTAGACCAATCAGCCATCAACAGAGAAATAAAAATAAACCATATTTATACACCATTCAAAAGAGAAATAAGCTAAGAAGGAAACAAAAAGTCAAAGACACATCCTCCTCAACAGCTAACACTGGAATTATCATCAAACAAAACAAAAACAATATTTTAATTGGGGAACTACTAGGGAGAAAATCACAACCCCACCAAAACTAACAGAGCAAGCTACTGTATATAAACAAATCACCTGCACTGATGATGTTACCTAGTTGGGTAATGAAATGTTTGCAAGCAAGCAACCATACTCAGAGAACACCAAAAACTCCACAGAAAAAAAGATATTTTGGAAGTTTAATGTATCAGTTTTAGTCTATAAGACATTTCTTTTGTGATATACAGATAGTCTTCAACTTATAATCACAGTTGGGACTGAACTTCCATTGCTAAGCTTTTATTTCTTCTGTTCTTGATGTAATGTGAAAAATTTGGAGGAAGTTTATCAGTGTTTTTTCTTGCAGATGTGAGCACTTCCGTACTATGTTCCAGTCCTATTGGAATGAAGACGAGAAGGAAGTGATAGATGTAGATCAGTTTTCCTATCCAGTGTATCGTGCTTTTCTTGAGTACTTATACACCGACAATGTTGACTTGCCACCTGAAGATGCTATAGGTAATAGTGGAATCTTTGGCAAAAATATGTTGGGAAATTAAGTATCCAGGATAAATTTTTGTTTTCATTTTTCAGTGGGAGAGGGAGATGGTATCATCTTACCACAGATGTTAGCAACTCTTGGTGCCTCTATCTTGCCTTTTCAGTTTGCAGTTCTGTTCTATGGTGAACTGATGGGGGAAGAATGTTCAAACAAACCAATCTAGGTTCTGGTATATGCTAGGTTAAAAATGGCATCTCTTTAAATGGTGAGTGTGTGTGTGTGTGTGTGTGTGTGTGTATGTCCTTAATAGTTATAAAAATACGAATCCCGGGCATATTGTTCAATGATGCAATCTAGAGTATACTCCAGTTATTTATTGTTAAAACAACATTTAAAACAATAAAAACAGTTATATACAAGAATTAAAACAACTTAGCTTTTGCTGGTCCTCTGCCAGCGTCCTCAGAGTCGGACTTAGGGGGTGGGAAGTTCTTTTTATCCCCTTGCTGATCCAATTGCCTACTTATTGCCCTCGTGACAGGGCCACTCTTCCTGATTGCCTGTGACTGCCTTGCCTGTTCCGCCCTCTCTTTTTTGCACTCTAACATTGTATTTTTCCTGCTTTGTCATCCTTGTGCTGTCTCCCCCTCCCTGCGCTGTTGTCATTAGCACACTCTCCAATCCCTCCTCCTTATCCAATGCAAGGTGCCTCCTCCGACTCGGCACTACCCGAATCCTGTCTTGGTGTCCTGCATACCTATACCCATGAAAATTTACGAAACTGAATTTGTGTCTGTACCTTGCCGATTAAATATAATTGTACCTTTTTATACTATATGATCAATGTGCAATGAGATTCTGCTTAATTTAATTAAAATCTTAATTTCAGGGCTTCTGGATTTAGCTACATCATACTGTGAAAACCGACTGAAAAAACTGTGTCAGCATCTCATCAAAAGAGGAATCACAGTGGAGAATGCTTTCTCGCTGCTCTCTGCAGCAGTGCGCTATGATGCAGAGGTAATTAGCTGTCCCATAAAGTCTGCCCCCTCCAATGTGCCTTGGGAATTGCTAGGGAAGCAGTGAAGCAGCCCAGGCACAACATGACTTTTAAGAGGGGAGACGGAAGTCAGAAGAAGGAGTATCTCTGTATGCATATATACTGGATGAATATTGGTGGGAAATTAGAGTGCTATCCTATCCTGGGAGTGTTTGGGTAATAATGTCTTGAGGCGAATGTATGAAGACATACTTGGAGAGTCATCTTGGGTGATAGAAATGAGCAACAAAATGTATTAGAATGACAAAAATGGGTTTGTTAGCAATTTTGTATTTTCATCAGTTTGCATTCTGTGAATTCCCAGGTGATATGAAATCAGACACATGATTTAGCATTTGAGACTCAACTTAGTGTCTAGCCATATTACTACTTTCTGACCAGTTGGACTTTATCTCAGGAGCAATAACATTATTCAAGACTAAGGGGTTGAGTCTTGGGCTCTGTGGAATGCAGTCCTGTTTACATAATGTAAGGTTACGTAAGAGCTTAAGATGTAATTCAGCTCATGCTGTGCACCCCCAATGAGCATCAAAACTTATTTGAAGGGCTCACTCCACGACATCCTTGGAGATGTGGGTATATCTCATTGCCAAAGTACAGGCTTTTTTTCCTTTGTGTTATATACATAGTAAACCACCATTGGAGGCCATCACAATTCTCTTCATGCATTATCAAATAATAAGCATTTTAGTGGTGAAAAGAGAAGGAGCTAGAACAGACACATCTGCCCAAAGAATTCTTTCCAGTGTTATGGCAAATTGTTCTAAGTGTGTCATGAGAGAAAATATGTGAAGTTTTAGAGATGATTTATCTATTAAAAAGGTAGTTTTTCTGCTGCATTAAGAATATGAAAAAAATTGCCCCATCATAATTTTATTCTCTTTTTAATACCAAATACATTACCTGTTTGTTGATTAGTTTTTTTCAATCCAGGTAGCCCACCTTGAAATAGTTTGTAATTGAAAGAAAGTAGTAGAACCTGAAAATAAAGTACTTAAAAAGTGATCACTTAAAGCTACTATACCTATTTATACCTACTTCAAATTGTGTTTCCACCTACATGGAAAAAGATTTTAAGATGGGTAAAATGAAAATATTTCCTTTTTCTATTGTGGCTAAAACAAGTGGCAGAATGATCTATTTAAAAATAACAAAAGTTGTGTATGTTGTTAATACTTTCTTCAGCGTTGGTAATATTGGATGTTTTGATTTAAAACTTGTTTTGAATAAGTGTAAAGGTTTTTTTGTTTTCTATCTAGGATTTAGAAGAATTCTGCTTTAAGTTTTGTATCAATCACTTGACTGAAGTCACCCAGACAGCTGCCTTCTGGCAAATGGATGGTTCTCTGCTAAAGGAATTCATTGCTAAAGCCAGTAAATATGGAGCCTTTAAGAACTGAGAGGTGTGTTTGTTTGGAACTATATCACCACAGCTGATGTGATTTCATGCCTTTTTCTCATAGGTCCAATTAATTATATCACCTGCAGTACAAAACCACATGCCCAACAGCTATGCTTTAAAAGGGATTCCAAAATAAGTAGCAAGCACTTTATTTGGGTTTTGTTACTCCAAAGAGTTGGATTTATTTACTGTTTTAAGAAACTCTTGAGAAAATCAGAAAAATGGAGTGGGTAGGAGAAATAGCCAAAATAATGTCAGAGATTGTTAATCTGTTTGTAATCTCATTGTGGTACCTCTTGTTCTTTTGAAGCACTCTGATAGCAACCGGAAGCAAAATATCTTGTATGGAATAAAGGGAATTTTGAGAAAGGAATCATCCTCTCTGTATATATGAGAATGAAATTTGCACCGTCATTTGAGAAGAATTTGTGAAAAATGCTTCATTCCTCTATACGTCTTTCTGGGAATGAGTCTCACTGAATTCAGTGGGATATAATAAATTTACACTGTAAGTACATTGAGTTATACAATAACTTGAAATGTTGAAGAACCAATTTATTTTTCCTAAACAAATTGGAATTGTTTTTGTATTTCCTTTGTAGTGTATTATGTTTGGAAAAGAATTAAATAGTTTTGTTTTGTGAACTTAAATAATTCTAAGTAATTGACTGTTGGAAAGCTGTTTTGCATTGCAATTATGTATCAACTATATAATAAAATGGGTGCCTGCCTATTGTAACCTCTAAACTATTAAAATTGTGCACAAAATCATCTTTATATGAAGACTGTGGTATTCTGGATGGACTCCTTTTTTCACCAAAAACGTTGGAATGAAGTTAGGAAGTTAATTTTTTGTGCAGCAATTCCAAAATGTGAATAAATGAGAAAAGGTATTAATAAAGTCTTTCGGAGTATTTGCTATAGAAGAGTTTGATTTTTCAATTTTCGTATCCGATGAGTTATGCTTCTCTCTCCTTGGAATGACTGATGGTTGACTATCACTTGGTGCTGCTCATTTATGGGTGGTTTACTGAAAACACTTCTTGGAAGACTGAAGGTTCCCCCCCCCCACACACGTACAGTCCTCTTACCTTGCCAGAATCAGGTGAGCTGAAAGGACCTTCATGCATAAAATCTGTGCTGTGCATATCTGTTGCCATAGATTTCTGATAATCTTCCTGCTTAAAAATTTCTATTAAAATGGAATTAGCTCATCTGTTTCTAAGGACATTTCTGTCTTTTTAAAAAGCTGAAGCTGTTACTACTACTTATGCTTTTGAGCAGCAGAGAACAAATTGATTATTTTAATAATAGGGTCACTCAGCCTCTTAATCTCTTGTTTATCATAACATGAGATTTAATGCTTCCTTGTCTGCGGGAGGAAATATGTATTTCTTGTGCTACTTCTGTTATTGTTGTCTTTCTCTGAATTTACCCTGATTTGTCCATGTTAAAACTGCAGTATGCTGAACAGGCTCATACTTCAGAAGTTGAATTAAAGTCAAATGGCTACCACTTTCTCTATTGAAGCAGTCCAACATTCAGTAATTTGTTTTTTAAACCACTGCTGTCTTACAATTAATAAAACCTGGAAAAAATGGATAATGGAGGGATGCACTACATACTGGTGCAGTATACCCCTCCCCCAGCAGAATGGCAGGCCCCAAAATGAGCACAACAGTATATATGCAAGAAAAACAAGGATTTGGGGACCTGATAGGCAGGTTTGCTGAAATATTTTACATGATGTGAAACAACCTTCTGAAATGTATGTAGATTGGCCTCATTAGCACAGTTAACAATAAGTGTATATCTGCACAATCTGTCTAGTAAAACTTGAAGCAGGAAGGGCAGTTTCTTTGGGAAGTTAAATGAATGTATATGATAAGAGATATTATATACACTCAGATACAAGTCTGAATTGCAAAACCTGAATGACCATTAAGTGGCAGGAAAGTCTTGGGTATTGGTCTTACTTTGCTATCCTCTAGTGATCATCCTAACCCACTGGTAGCTCTACTGTAAGATACCGTAAACCAAAACCAGAGTGATTTACAGAGGCATGTTAATCCCATGGCAAATGAAGTGTATATGATAAATTCACTCACTTTCTTCCATGAATTTTCATCTAGTGAAAGGTATTTGAAGCTATAATCCTGGAAATATACATTCCAATTTAAAACTAATGGTAAAACATTGGCTAGATCAAAAAGGTCTCAATTGTAAAAATGGAAAAACAACCGTTAACCTGTATAAAAGTCATTATACCAAAGTGACCTGGAAAAAAAATCAATAATCATTTTAATCGTGGTGGGTTATTCAGAGACAGTACTTAAGGTATTAAACTGTGTCTTCTGAGACAGGAAGTGGTATTTCTTTTAAATTTCTTAAAAGTTCAATCTGAGTATCCAGTCTTTCCCGTGTATTCATTAGTTCTTGAATTTTTCTCTCTGTTCCTGTATAAATTAAAATCAGTTCTTAAGATTAGCAATATATTAAAGATGGCTCAAAAATATTAATGTCAAGACAAGTTACTATTAAAGTATATAGATTTAGTTGACCAATGCCATGAGGGGAACAAGGTTGGGGAAACGTAAGGGCTACGGTCCTTCAAAGAAAATGTCGATCATTGCATCTTTGAGTGGACAGTGGTGGCGGGCATCCATTACTTTTGCCAGGCTGTCTCTTCTATGATTGCCCTTCCTTCCTTCCTTCCTTCCTTCCTTCCTTCCTTCCTTCCTTCCTTCCTTCCTTCCTTCCTTCCTTCCTTCCTTCCTTCCTCTTTCCATCTGCCCCCAAAACAGAAACAACAAAACCCACAAGCTTGTTTGTTAAAAACTGTCAAAGTATAACTACTGTGTAAAAGAGATACTCTATGTAACTCTCAAAGAACAACCAGATGCACTTTAAGCAGAGAAACGGTACCAAGAGCTTTCCCCCCCCCAGATTGGTAGAACCAAGTACAGCAGTCAAAAGTGTTGTTCCACAAAGTCACATAAAGTCAGTTTAAGACTGCAACTGAAGTGAATGAGACAGAATTAGCACAAAGCACCAGTATTTATTTGCAATAAAATAGTCCCCATCCTTTGTAAGGCAGGCAAAGCATATCATTAAATTTTGTTTTACTGGATCATTTACATGAATAAAGTATCCATTAGCATCAAACGTCTATAAAAGTTGTGTCAGTGTGTCTATTTGCACTGGTTGTATTATTATACAAATGATATTAAATTATGCAAGTTGCATTATTTGCATTATCTATATATCATTATAAATTGCCACTGAAGCCATATAAAGTAATGCTTTGTTATTTTGTGGAAAGGATTGGGTAGAAAAATTGGTTTGTACTACAGCATCTGAAGTCTGCTAAATGGTGGTTTCACTGTATTGTTTGGATGCTTTTGCTGACTTTTTTTCTAATCTAGATCAAATGACTGACATGATCAAAGAAACATAATGCTAAAAATAATACTGCATTCTTATCTGTACCTATTTATATTCTTAACTAGTTTAAAAGGAATAGCCTTGGTTCTACAAAGTAATTGTTACATTTTGCTTCATACATACCCGAATAAGCCACTCTAAGAATATTTTCAAAGAGACCACAATCAAAAAGTGACATGACTGTTTCTTCATACTCTAAGGATAGACAGAAGAATGCTGATTTCAAAAACACAAACTTTTTTAAAAAAAACATGCATGATGATAATCAGAAGTATTTTTTAAAATCACCTATCATTACCATACCTGAAGTTGCATCTAAATTCAAAACATTCTTATATCTTTTGACATTATTGTGAAAGAAACATCATATAGCAAGGGACTTTTAAAGATGTTTATATGTATTTATTGAGAATTTACATTGTAAACAATAAAGGAAAGTAGAATAGACACTTCATTTGTTCCTTAAACATAAATTCACCAATTCTTACAACAGTTGGAATGTCAGGACTACATTTTAGGTGTACTCCTACTAATCCTTAAATAAAATGTTTTTATATAATTATATGGAAAACACTTTTCTTTAAGGCAACTCAAATAAGAGAAACAATTTTAAAGGAATATGCAGCATCAAACATGCTTAAAAAGGGCAACATGAAAGAATCAAATCCAGACCAATAATCTTTAAATTAGAATAATGTTTTTAAGACAGAAGTAGATTCTGACATAAAATATTAACATTTAAAGAGCAGAAACAAAGCATTGCAAAATAGTTTCTAAATGAAAATCTCTCAAAGAGCCATATAGGACCTTCCATAAAATTTGTAACAATACTCTTCAGAAAATAAAGGGAAGCCCAGGAGAACAAGTACTTAGGCAATTTGCTAATGTATGTTTGGGGACCAGACAATTTGAGGAATGATCAAGTCATAAACTTATTCAGACTTCCCTATCAGCTATATAGACCTGGCATCAGTCATTTTCTATTGGCTAATGTCAAGTTGAGAATAGCTTGTTCTCCTGTCCCTTTATTTTCTGAAGAATATTATCACCAATTCCACAAAATTGGTGACAGCAATCTTCAGAAGGAAAGAAGGCATAGGAAAATAAGCTATTCTCAATTTGGCATTAGCTAACAGAAAATACTTAATGGAAGAACTGGAAATAGCATGAATATTGAAATTGAGGTTATTATCTTTGATTCTAAGAGGATATAATATATTTTAACTTCAAAAAAGTGGCATTTAAGTTTACAGTAGGAGAAGTTGAGGAGAAATAAAACAAGATTTGTGGAAGTATGAAAAAGAAATAATAAAAACATTTCAAAACAATTCTGGTGACATGGCAGTGGAAGAAGCCAATGGGTCTACAGAAAACCCTTAATGAAAGTCTGAAAACAAAAATTATGTAGGAAACAGGAAAGTCTGGTCAGCAAGAAATACAAACAGGTAGATAGCTAGCTTTGCATATAGAGGAAAAACAAGCTGAAGCTTAGAACAACAGAAAGGACACTAAATGAATTGGCATGTAAGTTGTTCAAAGAAGATGACAGTTTATACTAAGAAGAAATAGAACAGCAGGTCCTTATTTAACAGCCCTAATGGGGACCAGTAACTATTACTAAGTGAAGTGGTGGTGAAGTGAAACATCGTGTGACCACTTATATCATGTGATGGTAATTCCAGCATTCTTTGTTGCGGTCATTAAGGGGAACTGACCAATGAAAAATAAAGCAGAACTATTTACTTCTATGATTTGGAAAATATAATTATTTTGATGCAAACTAAAATTGCATTTGCATTTTTAAGCCATGTACTCCACTGATTTATATTTAGTTTGCAGTCAACCGCTGTTCTAAGATCTTTTTCACATGCATGGTTAGCAGATAAAATAAACTCTGTAAGAATTATTTAGACCAAACTGGATGCATTCAGGGGAGAAAGAGGATGATAGAGGACCAGAAACTGCAAAGGGACCAGAAACATTTATCTCTGAGAAGTGTAGACTGTGAGGTGACACAACAGTACCCTTGGGACCAAACCTCTCAGATATGAGATCTCAAGATAATTGAGAATTCCACATTCTTTACAATACCTGCTTCTGAAGTATTGTCTTTTGTCAGCTTTTCCCGAGCCAGGTGAAGATTGTTTAATATTTTCTCAAAGATTTCATCCAGAATTCCAGCCTGCTTACACTTCTTTAAAAATTCTATCCTTTCTGTGGAAAGAGAAATACAATGATTTGCAATTTATATTTTTATTTTCATGTTCATCTGGCACAGTAAAGCACTGTCCAATAATAACAATTATTTTCAAGGCATAAAGACAGAAAACATTATGAATAAAAGGGTGTGTGTGTGATGGTGAACAAGCATCAGGAATGTTCCTCTCAAAGAGATCAACAGATTGATTTCTAAATGAAACAGCCAAAAGACAATGCCTGATTTCCTTATTTTATTTCCTTATTTTGTTTTATGTTATTTTTCAATGAATGAATGTATAAACAAAAACAAAACATAGGACTCTGGGTGACTAACAAAATAAAAAAAGATAAAAGATTATTAAATTAGTAAAAATATAGCTAGCCAACCAACCTTTCTTGCAGAAAGCTAGAAAAGTTGGGGCAGGGAATGACACCATAATATCCTCCGAGGCCCCGCAGATTACACTCCCTTCTAGACAGACCTGAAGCATGCCTTTTAATATTTTAGATCTTTAGGCTTTTAGTACAAGGAGGCAATTAGGAATAGAAGATAATTAAATTGAAACTATTGACTGAGTCCAGCAAAATCGTCCCAGATGAAAATTTTCTTTCCATTAACAGGAGGCTTTTGAGCCATTAACTGAAATGACAAGAAAGCCCAGTGTGTTTAGGCAGGCTTTTTCAAGAGAGACAGTACCCTCCACATCTAAACATCTCAGCTTGATCTGCTTGAGCCAAATAGATGAACTCTTTCATGTTACAGACTTATATGCAGGAATGAAGATAGAACATCATCTCCATAATTCTCCATTAATGGAGAATTGAAGATCGCCTCTAAGAAAGGAGATGCTATCTATAACGATATTTGTTAACTATAGGTGAGAAAGTTGCATAAACTGCCTTAAGATAGAAGTAAATAATAACCATCACCCCTATGTTAGGAATTCTAACAACTGACAAATATAACAAATGTTTTACCTTTGTGTTGGTCATGATTTTCACTGAGGACTTCCATATTCTCTTCCCCAACTGTCTCATCATTCTGCCAATATTTTTTTAAAATAGCAGTTATAAAAGGCCCAGATTACTGATATAACTCATATCGCTATATGTTCATTTTTAATAAAGTCAGAGAATTAAGCTAAATTCTTCCCAAGTAATCTAAACTTATATTTAATCATTTATACATCATTTATTAGTAAAATAATTACAGTAAGTCTTGTTTTTAGAAGATGTTTAGAAGTTTTTTGAAGTTTTGATCCTAAATTGTTTTGATGATAAAACTTTTATACTAAAAGTCCTTCAGAAATGCTCACGTAGTAAAACAGAATGTTTTAAAACCTACAACACAGGATGGCAGTACCCGCATACAGACTACAAAGGGTAAAACAAAAAGACACTGTAGCAATACTTCAAGTAAAAAAAGTAGAGACATAAACTGTTAAGTCTTCAGAGACGGCTCAGATTGTCAGCTTCTCTTAGATTGAGAGTAGGGGCTGAAGTGCATTTCTCTTTCTTTCATCCACTTGTGATCTCGGATTAGTTGGAAAAGACACTCCTCTTTCAAAATTTCAGAAACAAAAAAGAAATAATCAAACAGCATTTAGTGGGTGGGTGTCTAATAGTAGGCTTAACAGTTCCATATTCAACAAGGATATCACAGTCTCTAGAGATGTAGCAGCAGTGACAGTTCTCAGTCAGAAAATGACACAGGTCAAAATAAAAACAAAATGTATTTGAGATGCTCTAAGAATCTGAAATTATGCCCTACTAGGTGAGGCCATGTGTGCCTGAGTCACAATGGAAGGTGGTGAAGAAGTGTGGCCTCCTACGGCAGTGTTTCCCAAACTTGACAATTTTAAGGCATGTGGACTTCAACTCCCAGAATTCCACAGCCAACGTTGCTGGCTGTGGAATTCTGGGAGTTGAAGTCCTCATGCCTTAAAATTGTCAAGTTTGGGAAACACTGTCCTACGGTAAAAGTTTTAGAAACGTCTCACTGAGACACCCAAAAGGCAACTTCATTACCATTCTGGTTGTAGTGGAGGAAGAGTCTGTGGGGGTCGGGAGCATTTCCTTCTTACTGTTTTCACCTAGAAAATAAAGTAACAAGATATTTTATCATACAACTTCTCATAATACTTCAAGACAAAAAAAAAAACAAAGAAATTCCAGCAGAAAGAGGAATTTAACTCTTAAATTATGTTCTAACTGATGTAAGCACATTGGAATTATGCAGTGCATTTTATTTTTGTAAAAAAAAAAAAGGTGCTGGAACTCACACGTGTCATACAACCCGCCTTGCCTACCCTACAAGGTTCCATCCAAAAAAGGTGCCGGAACTCCGTTCTGGGCGTTCTATAACAAAAAAAGGCCTGGAATTATGTTTATTAAGGATGTTATACCATGGCTCCCTTGACAAACATCTTCCCAAAATGACTGCTTGAGGCATGGAAAAAGAAACTGAAGCAAGAAGCAAGGAGAGTACTTGCAAGTTATAATATCTAAGAAACCATGCAAACAATAGTTTTCCATGTGTATAAACAGAACAAAAATCTAAAATACTGGGATAAAAATAAATGTAGCCTGGCATGGTTGATATTACCAACAGTCACAAGCAGGAAATGCTGTCAATAATGGTTTCAGCCAGGACTTTAGTTAGATGTCCAGGCCCTGCTCTGTATAATTAGGAGGATGGTTTCCGTGACTTCCTACATTATATATGAACAATAAATATATGGAGTCATTTAAAGCAGGTTGGGGAATAAGACTAGTAGTAGTAGTAGTAGTAGTAGTAGTAGTAGTAGTAGTAGTAGTAATTATGCTAGACCATGGCCTGTTAGATGGTTGTATGAGAGTAATGGAATGCACTCTCCATATATTTTTCTGCCATTTTATTTTTTGTTTCTTTTTATCTTAATTCAACTTCATTGTTTTAATGGTTTTAGATACTTGCTTATAACCATGTACACTGTGTAAGATTGGCAGCTAAACAAATGTGATTGAACAAATAAAGAAATTAAGCTCCCATTCCAACAACCCCCTAACCGCCCTGGTCATTATCGTGGAAGAGTGGCAAGGAGTGTTGCAACAATGGCTATATTTTTCTAAAAGATTCAGAACCCTTGCTAAGGCAGAAGCAGATTTAAACAAATTCCCTAAGTACATACATACCATTAAAACTGCGTCCCTCGACTGGAACGTGTTTTTGGCAGAACACACTACCGGTAATAAACAGAAAGAGAAGTAAATTTATAGAAGCAAATATTTTCATTTTTATAAAGATTCAGCAAAGAAGAATGAGTCATCAGGATTTTTTTTTGTAAATAAATAAATAAGCAGATGACAATCAGTGTTTACCCAAGAACAAGAACACATTTCCTATCTGATCAGTTGAGAATGCCTACAGCATATCCTTTCCACAATGCTACTAAGGTCAAGAAGGAACTTTCAAGACCTCGTTCTTCATTGCAGAGAGGAAAAACTGATTGTCGGTTATGCCAAAACAAAAGCAGTGGCTTTTCTGTACTGTAATCACTGCTGGAAAATAAACGGTAAAAGTATAAAGCACAAGTTAAGGCCTTTAAAAACTTGGAATCATACCTCTATCATTTGCACTGTGAAAAGAACAAATTAAAGCTGTTTACACTACAAACATAGGACTATTTATGTTATTTCTAATTACAAAGATTTATGATCCTTAGAAATGATATCATTTATAAGAAGAATTCTAGTTCCCCAGTGTGTTTCAAACTCCATTTATGAATTAAATTGAAATTTATTTCTATGGAAATTTCAATGGGTGATTGCTAGTCCTTCTGATCCAATAGAAAAATTCATCATCCTAAAAAAAGGCACAGAATTGGATCTTAAATATCCCATTTGGGACAGATAATACTTTTCTGAAGTTAAATCAATGTATTTTTAGTGCTCACCTCCATTCCCCATTGTTATAATGAAGGTCTGATTAGAAGACTTTTTATCCTAGCTTTATTAATATATGTGTGTGGGGGGGTGTCATGCCAGAGAAACCTCTCTTTAGCCAGATTTGATGCTTTACCACCAATGCTTATTGAGGCAAGATATAATAAATCTTCAGTTCAATGTTGCCCATTCAAAGGACCTGAGCCATGCACATTTCACTGTACTACCCCATTTCACTGGGCTGATTTAATGCTTTTGATATCTAACATCCTTGTATGATGGTTAGATAGACGACAAGAATGTATTTTTCTACCAGCTGATTTATTCCCTGAAAATCTGCAGATGGATGGCTAAATTCTATTCTACTGATATTGCTGAATGGGAGCTTTGGAAATAGCTGTCCATTGCTGATTTACAGACTGGATCACTTAATGCAATATATTGTTTGAGCAGTTTTGTATTTTTTTATCCTTCACCGCTCATATCTGTTTATTATGTTTTCATAATATTCAGATCAATCTTTTGAATTGGTCTTTGAGTAGAAATAAAATTTAGTTACTCTCTCTGTTATTTTCATTAGATAAATGCAATTCTACTTATCAAGTATTTCCTTTTTCCTATGAATCACTATGGGCCCTCCTCAAGTCCTTGGGAGTAGACATCTGTTGTAGAAGCTCACCTGCATTCACCATACTGGAATTTAACAACCAATCCCAGCTTCTCATACCAGGCTAGCTTATACGTTCTCACATTCTGAAATCCCTTTTCTGTATGTATAAATGTTCACTCTGGCAGTTACAAAAAGCTTCATCCTAACCTAGTATAGGTTATATAATATACACCCATTAGATAAAGCCTTTTTTTACTTTCTTATTTTGCCATATATTAATTTCAAAACAAAAATGAATTACGTGTATATAGGATTCTCTTGAAAAGTATCTTAAAATAGACTTTAGAAAACATTTGATTCTATACCGGTAGCGGCCTGGCTCTTCATATTTGACTGAAGCAGCATCACGAAAGGCACACAAATAATGGTAATTTTTGCGACAAGTTTGGATCTCGCATCCAACGGTTGCTCCCTTCGTACGACAGAACCTGCACCGCTGTATTGAAACAAATTGAAACTATTTTTTGAATTGCAGTTTATAAAACTAGGAAGTGGCATTAGACCCATTTTCTTCTCCATCACCCATCACATACTGGCTTTTGTGCTGTGATCCTGTTTAAACTAAACCATTTACAGTAAAGTGTAATCTCCGCTTTGTAACAAGAATATGAAATCACACGTGAGTTGTATTTACTAATATCCTGACCAGAAATGGATTAAATAAGAAAAAGTATTGCCTTGTCACTTTTAGATAGCAAATAGTTGTTATTGGAAAGGGGCTGTTTTCTAATTCAATTAAATAACACTGCTCCTCTGCAGGGAGGTGTTAACTGATGAGATCATATTATTTTTATTCATTTTTCTCTGTCAGTTCCCCCCTCACACACACACCTTTTTACTCTCCCAGTGTTTTAAATAAGGGGGAAAACAGTAATAAGATCAAAAGTCTTTCTGTCAGTAAGACAGAGGGGCTAACTAGACTATTGGTTTATATTATAATCTTTAGGCCTTCAAAGAGGAAATTTCAGATGTGAAAATAATGTGAAAATGTGAAAATAAATGTTTTAAAGTAAATCTGCTATAGAATTTTAAAACATGAAAAATGTCTTACCAGCCTCCTTCCTCTCTTTATTTCACTCATTACTGAAGCCACGTCAAACCTTTTATTAAGATCCTCAGCCTTCTGTTCTTCTGATTCCACAAATCCTGAAGAAAATAACTAGAAATGAAATCAGAAAAATAAGATGTAAAACAAGAGGACATGACAAAATAAAATATTAAAAATAGCAGCAAGAAGGGCTTCCGGTGGATCAAGCAGCTACGATGGCTGCTTTTCACACAGCAGCCCGTTCCTGGGTTGTGTAAAAGCCGCTGGACTTTGACAATCAGCTGTCCCGCGGCTTGAATCTCTTCCCTGGGAGAAAGGGAAGAGAAGAGCTGCTCAGGTAGAGGTAAGAGCTCCCCTGGATCCCCATAATTTCGGTGATCGGAGGGTAGAGTTCCCTCGGAGCCTGAGCCAACTCCACACTCCAGGACGTCTTTGTCCCGAAGTTCTGGGATGAAGCAAGGCGCCGCTCCCACATCTGCTTTTTTGGGAGGCTTGTGAGTATTCAAATGCAGACGGAGCAGACCAGGAGAAAGTGGATTTAAGATTGATTGTGATTGTAACTCCTGCAAGCATCTTCCCCCCCTTTTTTGTTTACTTTCCCTTTTGAAGAAAGGGAAAGTGAAAGGCAAAATGGCGACTTTCTTGTTTGACTTTGTAACAAAGTTAAAAGTTCATGTTTTAAATATAGAGGCAAGAATTTTGTTCCTCTTTCTTTTTTTCCCCTTCTTTCTTTCTTTTTATTATTATTTAAAGAACTGTGATATTATAGAGGCAAGAATTTTGCTCCTTTGAACTTAACAGAATGGCTTCAAAACGTTTGGTCTCTGTCCCTAAAGCTTCCATCTCCTTCCCAATGACTCAGCCTGCTTCTCAGTCTAAACCAAAATCACCCCCACCCTCTCCTCCTCCTGCAATCTCTCTCAAAGACTTACAAGAGGCTATAAAAATGACTGCTTTGGATATTAAAGAGGAGGTAAAAGATCTTATAATTGCAGAGAGGGCTATTACAGAAGAATTATTGGAGAAAAAGAACAAGCAAGTCAGAGAAGACATACTATTTGTGTTTTCTGGTCTTGCCTTGCATATTGAAAGGATTGACAATAAAATGGAAGAGATTACAGCAAAACTGGAATTTAGAATGGAGGAAGTGGAGAATAAGATAGAAGTTACACAGGATGAACAAACTATTTCACAATACAGAGAAATGGAGTTCGCATTGCGTATCTGAGGATTGAAAGAAAATTCCCAGGAAGATTTGAAGATGCTTATTGTTAGAGATATTGCTTTTAATCTTGGATGGAGACCAGAAGAAGTTGGGAATGAGTTAGAAAAAATCTTCAGAGTCAACTCACAGGTTGCCAGACAGAGAAATTTACCAAGAGATGTGGTTATTTACTTTTCCAGAAGATCTCTTCGTAATGAAATTATACAGGCTTTTTATAAAAAGAGGTTTCAAATTGCAGCTCAAAATGTGATAATTTTAAAAGAAATACCTCCAAAAATTTTAAGAGGTAGAAAAGATTTTACTTTTCTGTCTGATGAGTTAAAACGTCGTCAAATCCAGTTCAGATGGGAGATTCCAAGAGGAATAGTAGTGAATTATGATGGAATATGTTACAGATTAACTACAGTTTTAAAGGCAAGAGATTTCTATCACTCTATTCTAAAGGCAAACCGTCTTCACCTCCACAAACAAGGATAATTGAAGAGCCCGTTATGGCAGGAGCTTCCTCATTGATGGTCATGGAACAAGTGGTGTTGCCTGTACAGAATCTTGAGATAAAAGATCAAAGGATGACACGAGCTGCCCATAAACACAAAGAAAAAGAGCAGCAGCAGAAGAGTGGCGATAAAGTAGAAGGAATGGTTACTACACAGCCTGTGGGAGGGGCAAGACCTAAAAGATCTTAGACAGTTGATCTTCATGCTATGCTTCAAAGGCTTCAGGCCGGTGTAGATGGCCAAGTTCCTGACCTGGAATGTTAATGGCTTAAACTCACCTCAGAAATGGAGAAAGGTCTTCTACTATTTGAAACAACATAATAATGTCTTGATATGTTTGCAAGAGACTCATATAACTTCAAAGGACTCAAAATATCTGACAAATTCTCGTTTGGGATCACATTTTATAGCTCCAGCTCCAGGGAAAAAAGGGGGTGTTGTAATTTATGTGAAGAAAAATTTATCGGCTAAATTAATTGAGGTTGATCTTGAAGGAAGTTATGTCTTTGTGGAACTAGTGTTACAAGGCAAGAAAGTTCTTATTGTTGGATTATATGCCCCTAATCAACAACAGAAGCATTTTTATAAGCTTTTGCATGGGAAGATATCCCAATTGGATTATAAATTGTAATTCTGATGGGTGACTGGAATGGAGTTTTGGATATAACTATAGATAAAAAGAGCTCTTCAAAAAATTTCATTCAAACTAAATTACCCAAAACTTTTTTTGATTTGAAAGAAGAGTTGGAACTTATTGACATTTGGCGAGAAAGGAACACAAATGATAGAGATTTTACCTTCTATTCAGATAGACACCAGTCATTTTCAAGGATTGACTTTTTTGATTACTAGTGATTTTCTTTCTAGGGTGAGAAAGGTAAAAATCTTTCCCAGGACCCTTTCAGACCATAGTCCTGTGTGGATGGAGCTATACTTGGAAGATGGGAACAGAAGGCCTTGGAGACTGAATGAGAATTTGTTTACCCAGGGAGAGTTTGTACAAAAATGTAAAGAGTATTTAAAGGGTTTTTTGCTTTAAATATGAATAAGGGTACATTGATGCCCATGGTCTGGGACGCCAGTAAGGCGTATATGAGGGGAATTTTAATTCATTTAAATAAAGTTTCTAGGGATAAAAGGATACAAAGATGTAGAGAAATAGAAGATGAGATTAAAATAAAAGAAGAAGCGCTTGCTTTTAACCCAACTAATAATAACTTAAAGGTTTCTATAAAGATGCTTAGGGAACAATTTAATATGTTGATGGCATATGTTTGCGTTATATGAGACATAATACTTTTTGTAATGCGAATAAGCCTGGGAGGTGGTTGGCTTATCAGTTACGAAAGAAACAGAAGGCTAGGATTATAGAGAAAGTAAAATATAAAGGTACTGAGGTTTTTCAGCAAAATTTGATTAAAAAGAGTTTTTTAGATTTTTACACAAAACTATACTCAAGTGATAATATAAAGGGAATGGATATAGATAAATATTTACAATCAGTACATTTTCCTAAACTTTCTGAGGAACAGCAAAATGGGATGAATTGTTTAATTACTGTGGAGGAAATTGGTTTAGCTATCAAGCAGTTAAAGGTGGGAAAGTCTCCAGGAACAGATGGATTGACGTCGACGTATTATAAAAAATTATATGAAGAAATGTTGAAGCCATTAAAGGAGCTTTTTAATAGTATCTTGCTGGGAGCACAAGTTCCTCCTTCTTGGAAAAGAGCGTTTATATCATTGATTCTGAAGGAGGATCAAGATCTTACAGAGCCTAAGAATTATAGGCCGATATCATTATTAAATGTAGATTACAAGATTTTTACAAAAATTTTGGCAAATAGATTAATGCAGGTTATGAAGGATTTGATTCACAGTGATCAATCAGGATTCATAACAGGGCGATACATGAAATATAATGTTAGACAAATTATTAACTTAATTGCGTATTTGGATAAGAACAACCAGAGTCCTGTGGCTTTTATATTTTTGGATGCTGAAAAAGCCTTTGATCAATTAGATTGGCAATTCTTATTCTCACTGGTAGAGAAAATGAATTTTGGGGATAATTTTTTACATGCACTTAAAGCTATATATCAGCAACAATCTGCTCAAATTGTTAATGGGAGATTGACTGAGACTTTTAATATTGAAAAAGGGACAAGACAAGGATGTCCATTATCTCCATTGTTATTTGTTTTAACATTGGAGATTTTGTTAATCCAGATTTGAGAATCAACGGTAATCAAGGGCATAAAGATAAGAAAAAATGAGTATAAATTACGGGCTTTTGCGGATGATTTGGTTTTGATTTTGGAACAACCAATTAGAGCGGTTGATTGTCTATTAGAATTTATAACACAGTATGGAAAAGTTTCTGGTTTTAAAGTCAATAACCATAAGACTAAGATATTATCTAAGAATATGTTAGCCAATGACAAGGAAAGTTTGGTTAAAGCCACAGGTTTTCAGATGGTGAAAAGGGTTAAATATCTGGGAGTATACTTAACTGCCTCAAATGGAAAATTGTATTAAAATAATTATGAATTACTATGGGCAAAAGTGCAAAAGGATTTAAATGACTGGAAAAAACTGCAATTGTCACTGTTGGGGAGAATTTCAGCTGTAAAAATGAATGTTCTACCAAAGTTTCTTTTCTTGTTTCAGATGATACCTATTTTTAAAAAAGATGTAAATTTGGAGGAATGGCAGAAGGGTATCAATAAATTCATTTGGGCTGGGAAAAAACCAAGGGTTAAGTTTAAGATTTTGCAAGATGCCCGAGAAAGAGGACTTAAAGCATCTAACTTGAAATTATACTATGATGCAGCCGCCTTAACTTGGATAAGTGATTGGCTTAATTTAACAAATAAGGATATTTTTGTTCTTGAAGGGTGGGATTTAATGTATGGTTGGCATGCATATTTAATTTTTAATAAGAAAGTGGACCGGGCTTTCAAATCACATATTTTGAGGAGTGCCTTACTTCGAGTTTGGAAAAAGTATTATTATAGGTTAAACTATAAAATACCTATCTGGGGATTTCTAGACATGCAACTGAGGGGATTTATAAGGGGATGAACTTTGATAAAATTTCGTATAAAGAATTATTAATTTGGTCAGGTTCGGATTGGCATTTAAAATCTCTAGATGTATTAAGGCAAGAAAATATTCTACAGTCATGGTTTCAATATTTACAAATAGTGGACAGGTGGACTGTAGATAAGAAAGAAGGAATAACACTAGAAGATGGAAATCTGGTTATTCAGATTAAAGATCAGAGTCAGGCCCATATAAAAAGAATTTACAATGCTTTAATAGAATTAGACTCTGAAACAGAATTGGTTAAAGACTGTATGATTAAATGGGCTCAGAATATCCAGGATCCGATCCCATTGGACTTATGGGAGACAATTTGGATTAGAAATGTTAAATTTACACAAGCTCAAAATTTGAGGGAAAATTTTTATAAAATGTTTTACAGATGGCATTTAGATCCTAAAAAATTATCTTGTATGTATCCAAATTTACAACCCAAATGTTGGAGATGTGGTAATATGGATGCGACGTATTTTCATGTTTGGTAGAATTGTAAAAAAGTAAAGGCTTTTTGGATTATGATTTGGTGGAACATTCAAAAGATTTTTAAAAGGAAGATAAAGTTCACCCCTCAATTATTCCTATTGGGTATCTTTGTGGATTTAAATGACAAAGAAACTACTTTAATGTTGAATTTATTAACTGCAGCAAGGTTATTAGTAGGCTCGTATTGGAAGAAGGACTCGTTGCCTACTTTAGAAGAATGGATATTTAAAGTTTCTAACTTTGCAGAAATGGCAAAAATTTCTGCTTATTTGAAGGATCATACACAAGAAAGATATATTATTGTATGGAGAAGATGGATAGATTATATTCAGAAAAAATATAGGACTATAAAATTTCATTTATTTTATGGGTAAATTTTATAGTAACTGTTGTAGAGATTTGTTTATATGACTTAATTTAAGGGGAGTTAAAGGTTAAGTATGATGGTTTTTTTTCTTTTTTTTGTTTTTTTTACTTCCTTGTTGATAACCCTGTACTCTGCTCTGGGAAGTGAGGGGGGCGTTGAGGGTGGGTGAGTGGGTGGATAATGATAATATAGACCTGGTAAATGCTTGGGCATTTCTCCTATGCTGCGTTCATGTGTGTGAGAGGGATGAGAGGGGAGAAAGGAGTAGGGAGGAAGTAGGATGGTTAGAGGAGAAGGGAGGGGAAGAGAGTAGGAGGAGAGGAGAGAAAAAGGAGGGAAGTAGGGAAGGTTTAGAGAGGGTGGACGCAGCCTGGGGGGAATGGGCAGGCGGTACCAATGGTTAGGAATTTATTTTAATTGAATTGTATGAATAAATGGAAAATAAAAACTTGTTAATAACAAAAAAAAATAGCAGCAAGAATTGGCTGGGGATCAGTGCTACCTCATAAATTTACAAAGTTTTAGCAATTTCTTTTGTAAGTTTACTCATTCACAAAAACAACCATTAGCACTCTGAGTGCTCCATGGTCTCATATCTAATACAGGGAAGGAATCCTAAATGATGTTAAGGAAAACTTCAGCAAATTGGTAAATGAGTATTTTTCAAAAAAAATTGAATGAAAAAAGCATGAGCCAAAATGATAGGAAAAAAATATCAGTGTCCCTATGCTTGCCTGATTAGGAAGCATATAACTCTCAGCACTTAATCACTGGAACTGCTATGCCTATCCCATACACATTCCATAGTTTCCTTGAAAACATTCAACAGACTTTATGAAGAAAAAATGTTAAAGCTTCTAAGACATTTAATATAAGGTTCTGTCACCCAAAACAACCATTGCTGAGAGCTAGAGATATTAGTACTGTGCAGCTTCACTTCTGACATAATGAAGTTATAAGTTTGCAGATAAAATAATATGGCCAGAATATGAAGATTAGCAGTTACTAGCATATAGCTACCTTAATGTCTTCAAATGGGAATTTGAGAACACTGAGAATATAATTGGGAGATAGTACAAAACATTAATGAAAAGCTTCTGGTTGGCAAAAACAGCTTTTGTACAGCGTACAGTGCTGTCCCTCTGCCGCTTACCCAGGTTATCCACTCATTTCTGTTGACTAATCCAGAGAAGAATATTTTCAGCAATGATCCTCTGAGCAATCTCCTGCTGATATGGTTCCCATCTTCAAAAAAGTGGTATATTATAAAGTGATATTAACACTTCACATGATTTTGATTCTATCCCTGTTAATGCAGCCTAGAACTGTGTTGACTTTTTTAGCAGCTGCAGCACACTGCTGGCTTATTTTAAGTGATTGTCCACTAGGACTCCAAGATCCCTCTTAGTTCCTATTCTTAAACAAGGTACCACTTATCTATACTGTACCTGTGCATTTGGTTTTTCTTGCCTAAATGTAGAACCTTACTTTTTCACCATTAAATTTCATTTTGTTGTTCAAGTCTGTCAAGATCCTTCTGTATTTTAAGCCTATCTTCTTGAGTGTTGGCTATTCCTGCCAGTTTGGTGTCATCTGCAAATCTTATGAGTTCCCCATCTATTCCCTCATCCAAATCATTGATGAGGATGTTGAAGAGCACTGGGCCCAGAACAAAGCCTTGGGATACCCCATTGCATACTTCCCTCTATGTAGATACAATTCCGTTGAAGACTACATGTTGATGTGGTTTGTCAGCCAGTTACGAATCCATCTGGTGGTGATGCTGTTTAACCCACATTTTTCTATCTTATCAAGTAGTAGGGTGTGGTCTACTTTATCGAATACCTTACTGAAATCCAAGTAAATTATAGCCACAGCATTCCTCTGGTCCACTAATTTTATCACCTTGTCAAAGAATGCAATAATATCTGGCATGATATGTTTTTGACAAACCCATGTTAGCTTTTGGTTGACTTTGTTTGCCTCTAAGTGTTCACTAATTCATTGCTTGATTATCTTTTCCAGAATTTTCCCAGGTATTGAGGTCAGGTGATAGGTCTGTAATTTCCTGAACATCAGCTCTTTGCCAGTCCTCTAGTAGTTCCCCAGTGCTCAAGGATCTTTGAAAGATATAGTTCAGTGGTTATATCTGCCAGTCCCTTCAGAATCTTGGGGTGTAATCCATCTGGTCCTGGTGATTTGAACTCATCTAGGGTGGACCAGTGCTCTCTTACCATTTTCTTGTCTATTTTAACATGTTTCTAATCTGATTTTTTACGGTATTGTTTTTGATAGGTTGGACCGTTTTTTCTCTTTGTATAAAGATGGAAACAAAAAACAAGTTAAGTAGTTGTGCTTGTTCCCTGTTGCTTGTCACCTTCTTGCCACTATCTCCCACTAACAGACCAATCCTTTTCTTGTTTTTTACATGTTTACCTAATTATAATAAGTTTACCACTTTGCTTGAAAATAATTTGGAAAATGTTTGGGGAAATATTCTCTCCAAATTTCCCATCTCTAAATCCAATTGCAGTATGAATTGAATACTTTTTTTTCTGGTCCTATTCTCTCACTTCTATTTCTGCCTATGTAAGGACTGGGATTCCAGTCCTCCAGTCCTTCCATTGGAAGATGACAGCCCTTTTGAATTAAAAAAGGGAAGGAAGGCAGCACTAAAAAGCAGAATATAAAATATAAACATCCAAGTCTAGGAAAAATACACAGTATTATAAAGTTTTACATGTTTCTACGTGGTTCTTTTTTCTTCAGAGTATACATATTTAGAAAACCTTGATACAAAGAGCAACCAGTATAACATCTTCATACCTCTCAAATTCTTAGCCTGGACACCAAAAACTTTCAAAAACCTTTTTGAGCCCCTCTTAATTCATCTGACTACAAAGCTATCCATGTTCCCTTCCTCTTCCTGGAACTCTAGTCACAGTTCACCTTTTTCATCAGGGAAGGAACAAAATCAGGTTCTTAGGGAGCCATCAGTTTTCCCAGTGGAAAAGGAAAAAAGAGAAACAAAGCCAGCACACTCAAAGCTATAGAATCAGGGTAAGCAGGATGCCTTGAAAATCCTGCTCTCTGGGCCTTGATCCTCAAGGAAAAAAGTGAGGAAAAAAGGCTCTCTTCATCTCATTGTCTATAGATAAAAAGATGCATATACACAAGGCACCAGGCTAGAAACTGGGAGAGCATGAGTCCTATCTTAGCCATGAAAGTCAGCTGGATGACTTTGAGCGTCACTCTCTCTCAGCCCAACTCACATAACAGGGTTGTTGTGGGGACAATAGGAGGAGAAAAGAGTATTAAATATGTTAGCAACCTTGAATTATTTATAAAAATAATAAAGGCAGGATATTAATTAATTAAAGCATAGTGCCATCAAAGTCTGCAAAATGCGGATTACATGAACATAAAGAAAGGCATAAGGAAAGGGATAGAGAAATAAATGTGATTTATTATAGCAATTGCCAGGACAATTGCTCCTAAACAATCTCTGCTGGATTTTAACGTATTACTATAAAAATACTAATTATAGTAGTTATGGTCTTCTTGTACTCCAATCTACTTTAATCCAGGAAAGAATTTAAATTTTAACTCTTGAAACTGTAGCGCATGCCAATAAAAGTATAGTACACATGGCATAAAAAACAGGTGTATCAATTATGAATTGCCTCACAAGAGTGCTTCAGATCTTTTTTCGTTTTCCAATCAGTTATGGACACAGTTTGAATGTCGTTAGCAAACCTCACCAAACAATTTTGATGAACTGCGAGATTCTGTTCTTCAGCAATGTACATAATCGCAGTCTCTTCATCATCTCGACAAAATGCACACTTTCTTCTTACCATCTTTGCCATTGCTGGACTCACCTTAGAAAAATATTTTAGAGAGTAAAACATTATTAACATCACCCCATGGCTCTAAACAATACATTTAAAAATGCATTACTACAATTCACAAGCTAGTATCCTCCAGCACTACTGATATTCTGCTTTGAATATCTTGACATGGAACTCAAAAATAGAAAAATGTTTAAATCTGTGATCTCCAACCAGGCCCTCTAAAATTCTTTAAGAAGAGCAAAGAATCCTTATGTGTGGTTTCATAAGATAAGAAGAGAGATCATTACTTGGTTATGGAAAAAGAAATTTCCTTGCAGAATATTCAAGATGCACTTTCTAGCATCTTTAGTTATAAAATCCTAGATAGTATTTTTGGTCTAATACCTCAGAAGGTTGCTCTCAGTCCTGTTTGTAAAATGGGTACTGTACATGAGTTAAAACACAAAAATAAAGACACCAAGAACAAAGTTAGAAATTAAAATGAGTAATCTACTTCACAGGATTAATTCAAATTTGAAACACACAGACAAACAAACAATTTCATAACAGTAATAATATTAATATTGGAAAGAAAGATGTCAGTGTTATCCATTACCAATTAAATACACAGAGTTGTCTCAAAGAACTTTGGATGTCAGATAATATCCAACTTACCATATCCTCAGTATAGTCAGCCAATCCCATTTTAAATTTGGCAATACAAAACTGGTGGGAAACAACATCAAATTCTAAACTGCTTCCAATTTAGGTACGTAAGTCTTTTAAAGACACACCTAAAACCCCCACTAAAATCCAAGACAAAGAACAAGAAAACGGCAAAGCCCTCCTCCCAAAAGCACCACAGAAAGAATCAGTAAGATCCTCCATAAACACAACATCAAAACAGCATTCTGCACAAACAGAAAAATATCCACCATCCTTAGAAACCCCAAAGATAAAATTGACTTAGAAAATCAAGGAGTATATGAAATCCCATGCACTGCTTGTCCCAACACATACATCGGACAAACCAACAGAAGAATAAGTGCACGCATTGAAGAACATAAGAACTCAGTCAAAAAAGAGGAACCAACATCTTCCCTGGTCCAACACCTTAAAGCCACAGGACATGAAATTGACTTTAAAAATACCAGAACCATTGCCAAAAGTGAACATTTTAATAACAGAATAATCAGAGAAGCCATCGAGATAGAAAAACGCCCACATAGCATGAACAAGCAAGATGATACCTCCCGCCTACCAGCCATTTGGAAACCCGCCCTTATTGACAAACGACTCCCTAACACAAAAAATGATACCAGACCCACACTCACAAAAACCACACAGGATGTCACCACCACACATCCACGCAAAAAGCAAACCCAAAGCCACACCAATGATGAGGCACGACCACAAACCAGAAGCCAGACCACAGCTGCATCATTAGCCACTTTAAACCCCTCCACTCCATACATGAAGCCAACTGACACCCTCCATGAAGATGAGGCACGACCACGAACGCGAAGCCAAAAAATAGCAAGGCAAAATCTTAAACCCCCCTGTAACTCAGACTAACCTGAGCACAACCAAACAGAACACTCCCCCAGACAATCAGAGCACAGCCAACCCCCCCAGCCAATCAGAGCACAGCCACGCCCCTAACCAATCAGAACACACCTCCGCCCAATCAGAACACAGCCAAGCTCCCACCCAATCAGTTCATACCCCCACTGGCAGTTAAAAGGAAGAAACAGCTAAGACCACACATTGCTCCTCGAAGCACAAAGCTGAAAGCACCAGCCTGAAGATGACGAATGGGACTTCGTAGAAACGTCGCCAAGACACTTCTAATTTTATGCGGGAAAAAACCCGAACAACCAAAGACCTACATACAAACACCCGCGAAAACCTCAGAAAACAAATATCGAACCTCTACAGGGAGGAAATCCACCATCTGACCAGGACCTATGAAAAACTTGAAGTTCAAAGAGCTTCCATTTTATGCGACCTCACATTCCTACGCAACTGCCGAGATCAAAATCTAATCCCCACATGTTTCCAACTGAAATTCCACTCCAACTCTGCAGCCACCAAACGGATCCTGAAAAGAACAGAATTGGCCCTAATCAGAAATGAACTTCACACAAAAAGATTCCTCCTAGATCGAATTAACAAAGGTCTCCTCACACTTCACCTCAAACTCAGCAACAAGATCCACCCCGCACTTTGGGACAAATCCAAACAACTCGCTGTCTGGAGAGCTGAAACAAAGGCCACCCTCAAGACAGATACACACACCAACAAACTCCGAAGACTACAAGAATGCCAGAAACAAACCCCTCCTCCCTCACAGCCACACATGAAACAAACAGTGCATAACATCTCAGATAGGATCCTCACCAAAGCCGAAACCAATGTCCTTTCCAAAGGATTCAACTTTGCAGTCGCTCCCAAACACATCCCCACTGAAACCATTATATGTGGAGTTGAAACCAGCCTGACCAAAATCAACCCCGACAACGCTAACAGAATCAGACTCGAAATCACCAACATCCTCTGCACCAGCAAGCCACCCAAAAACAACTTACCCAAAGAGGAACAGACAGCACTACGTAACCTGAAAGAAGACACCAGCATAATAATCCTACCAGCAGACAAGGGCAACGCCACGGTGGTTATGAACACATCTGACTACCAAACCAAATTAACCAACCTACTCCAAGACTCCACATACAAACCCCTAAATACAGATCCCACCACCTACCTGGAAAAAACCACCAGATCCAAAATAAAAGCCTCCCCCATTAGCGAAGAGATCCAGCAAAGAATCATTCCCAGAGAGAAATCATCCAGATGCCCCAAACTCTATGGTCTCCCCAAGATACACAAAGAAGGAACCCCACTCAGACCTATAGTCAGCTCCATAGGCTCACCTCTACAAAACCTAGCCAAATTTCTCGCCAAACAACTACAGCCCTATGCAGAATCCATCACCTCACACGTAAAAAACTCATTCCAGTTTATAGAGATCATAAAGAAACAAAACTTACAGCCCAGCGACCTACTCGTGAGCTTCGATGTCATATCCCTCTTCACCCAAGTGCCTATCAAAGAAGCCTTGACAGCTATCCAAAACAAATATAACCCCCCCAAACACATCTTAGATCTGACCAACCACTGCCTATCCAACACATACTTCATCTATAATGGACAAAAATACAAACAAACAGAAGGAGCACCCATGGGATCACCCCTCTCACCTGTCATTGCCAACCTCTACATGGAACACTTTGAAACCCAAGCTCTAGAAAAATCGGATCACAAACCCAAACTCTGGCTCAGATACGTAGACGACACCTTCATAATCTGGCCACATGGGAAAGAAAAACTGGACAACTTCCTCACACACCTCAACAGCCTACACCCCAAAATACAGTTCACCATGGAAACAGAAGCTAACAACCAACTTCCCTTCCTGGATGTCTTAGTCTACAAGAAATCCAATGGCTCCCTAGGACACACCATCTACCAGAAGAAAACACACACAAACCGCTATCTGCACGCTCTCTCACACCACCACCCAGCACAGATCAACTCTGTAGCCAAGACACTCATCTCCAGAACAAAACGCTTAGCTGACGAACAACACCTAAAAAAACCGAACTACACACTCTCACCAATGTACTAACATCCAATGGATTCCATAGAAATAAGATTACAAACCTAATCCAAAAAGAAACCCCCACTAAAATCCAAGACAAAGAACAAGAAAACGGCAAAGCCCTCCTCCCATACATAAAAGGCACCACAGACAGAATCAGTAAGATCCTCCATAAACACAACATCAAAACAGCATTCTGAACAAACAGAAAAATATCCACCATCCTTAGAAACCCCAAAGATAAAATTGAATTAGAAAATCAAGGAGTATACGAAATCCCATGCACCACTTGTCCCACCACATACATCGGACAAACCAACAGAAGAATAAGTGCACGCATTGAAGAACATAAGAACTCAGTCAAAAAAGAGGAACCAACATCTTCCCTGGTCCAACACCTTAAAGCCACAGGACATGAAATTGACTTTAAAAATACCAGAACCATTGCCAAAAGTGAACATTTTAATAACAGAATAATCAGAGAAGCCATCGAGATAGAAAAACGCCCACACAGCATGAACAAGCGAGATGATACCTCCCGCCTACCAGCCATTTGGAAACCCGCCCTTATTGACAAACGACTCCCTAACACAAAAAATGATACCAGACCCACACTCACAAAAACCACACAGGATGTCACCACCACACATCCACGCAAAAAACAAACCCAAAGCCACACCGATGACGAGGCACGACCACAAACCAGAAGCCAGACCACAGCTGCATCATTAGCCACTTTAAACCCCTCCAATCCATACATGAAGCAAACTGACACCCTCCATGAAGAGGAGGCACGACCACGAACGCGAAGCCAAAAAATAGCAAGGCAGCCCAAAATCTTAAACCCCTCTGCAACTCAGACTAACCTGAGCACAACCAAACAGAACACTCCCCCAGCCAATCAGAGCACAGCCAACCCCCCAGCCAATCAGAGCACAGCCAACCCCCCAGCCAATCAGAGCACAGCCAGCCCCTAACCAATCAGAACACACCTCCACCCAATCAGAACACAGCCAAGCTCCCACCCAATCAGTTCATACCCCCACTGGCAGTTAAAAGGAAGAAACAGCTAAGACCACACATTGCTGCTCGAAGCACGAAGCTGAAAACACCAGCCTGAAGATGACGAATGGGACTTCGTCGAAACGTCGCCAAGACACTTCCAATTTTACGTGGGAGAAAACCCGAACAACCAAAGACCTACATACAAATACCCGCGAAAACCTCAGAAAACATATATATATATATATATATATATATATATATATATATATATATATATATATATATATATATATAGTCCCTATATAAAGAATGCTTCAAAAACATGTAGCTGCAAATTCAAGATACGTTGATATTCAAAGCCATCATGTAATGTTTTAGAATTAATAACCTTGGAACAATATGGAATCCATTCATTTATGCCCCACATTTTACCTGTTTCTTTTTCTTTTTAATGAGGTTTACTCATGAAATGATGAAAACTCAGCAATTTTATTGTGGATAAATCTGTAGTCTGAAGTGTAGTTTGGAAATGATAGACGTTATGTTTTATTATCTCTGTTGAGCAAATCCATATTTTGGTTTAAGGTCATTGTTGATTAGTTTAAGTTAATTATTTCTGTTTTATTACGTAAACATTTATATTTGCTTTCTTTAAAAAAAGCAGCTATTTATAGTGGCTCTTTGTATTATGTTTCTCTCAATAAAACAAATACATTAAATTTAACATGCCATGGTTTGCATGCAGAGTATTTCATAATTTCACAAAACCTATATCAATTTAAAAGCTTAAGGAAATTTGGAAAGTATTGCTATATACATTCTTGTGTTGCTCCAGTGATGATCTTATTTATTTACGAGAGTTCTGGACCACCAATTCATCTTAGATTCTAGACAATTTATATCTAATGGCACAAAAAACACAGTTAAAACTTCTTTACAAGCGTTAAAAATTATCTTGTCCCAAGATAATCACCCCTTGTTTCTCATCAAGAGGCACCTCTCAGCTCTGTCCCAAAGGTTCTTTGAAAGGGCACCATCTTAAAGAACTTCTGAAATAGCAATACAAGCAGCCCTTACTTACCAACCATTCATTCAACGAATATTTGAAGTTGTGATGGCACTGAAACAAGTGAGACTTATAACTACTCCATGAAGCTCCGACTAGCCTAGCAACCCTCTTATCATGTGATCATGACCAGGGTGTTTCGCAACTGTCTCACGCTTAGGATGGTTGTCGCACTCTGTGGTTACATGATTGCCCTTTGCAACCTTCCAATTTCCCACAAGCAAAATCAAGCTGGCAAAGGTCTCAAGTGACTCCTGCCAATTTTTCTCCAAAGTATCCACTACATAGGACCTCGTATTCTATAGATGTGCATGCCCACAGCAGCCCCTGCCCACACTCCATAGTGCATACAAACAGAACTCCATTCATGCAGCACAGCAATGTCCCTTCCTGCACTTGCTCAGTGTCATAGTGTCCCTTCCTACTACCCGTTTTTGTAATGCTGCAGCACCCCCCTCCCCCACTCAGTTACATCCCATAGCACTGATTTGCCTGCCTACTTGTTGGGACTTGCAACTTTCTGTTGGCTTCACTGTTGACTTTGCTTGTTGGAAGCCAGTGGGAAGTCACAAGACATGGTCATGTGAGGTTCTCACTTAACAATCCATGATCTTTACTTAACAATAGCAACTGAGACGGCTAGGATTGCTATTGCTAAATGATGTGATCATGTGATGTTGCACTTTATGCCTGCATCACTTAGGGACAGAAATTCTGATCTCCAGAATTGTCATTAAGCAAGGACTACCTCTAAATAAGTAACTATTATGATCTTATTGGGTAAACTGTTCCACAGCAAAGCAGGTACAATTGAAAACATTTCCTTCTGGAACCCCACCTCTTTCACATCTGGAAAGAAGGAATCTATAGCATATATTGGACAGTTATATTTTACAAGGATCATAAGTGCCCTGAAGTAATGAGCACTCAAACTATATGAGACTTTACAGATGACAACTAGCACCAGCACTAGAAGAATAGAATAGAATAGAATAGAATAGAATAGAATAGAATAGAATAGAATAGAATAGAATAGAAGCTGGAAGGGACCTTGGAGGTCTTCTAGTCCATCCCCGTTTGATCAGGAGAACCTATTCCATCTCAGACAAGTGACTGTCTAATTTCTTCTTAAAAACTTCCAGTGATGGAGTGTGCACGATTTCTAAAGGCAAGCTGTTCCACTGGTAAATTGTCCTCACTGTCAGGAAGTTTCTCCTTAATCCCAGGTTTCTTCTCTCTTTGATCAGTTTCCAACCATTGTTTCTTGTCCTGCCCTCTGGTGCTTTGGAGAATAGTTTGACACCCTTTTCTTTGTGGCAGCCCCTCAAATACTGGAATACTGCTATCATGTCTCCCCTATTTCTTCTGTTCTTTAGACTAGCCAAACCCAAGTCCTGCAGCCGTTCTTCATGTTTTAATCTCCAGGCCTTTGATCATTTTAGTTGCTCTTCTCTGAACTTTTTCCAAGGTTTCAACATCTTTTTTGTAGTATGGTGATCAAAATTGGTTGCAGTATTCCAAGTGTGGTCTCACTAGGATTTTATAAAGCGGTACTAATACTTTACGTGATCTTGGCCCATCTGGCTGCTTTTTCTTGTCCCGGCTTTCACCTGTCAACATGCAGCATTTGACGAGCTTCCAAAATATTTTCAAGATAGCTTTGAAGCAAACTCAGTTACTCAGTCATCTGATGATTTCTGCAGAAATAGCACCAGCTTTTTTAGATTTGTAAGAAAAGCAATAATAGCTAAATGTTTTTTCAGGAATCATACATTTGAAGGGATCAGTGCTCAGAAATACAATGGGGCTTAGAATAGCAAAAAAAAGCAAAGGTTAGAAGAGCAGGAACTGTCTGCAGTCTTAACCACAAGACCTTACAACATGATAAGGAAGCTAACTGCTTATGCCTATGCAGATGGGATCCTAGAAACAGGACCTGTATGGTAGGCAAACTCACTTAGGAAGGCCAAAAGCAAATGAGGAACATGGGTAGGAGATTCACACGGTGGAACTAGGCATTCCAAAAAGATTGTGAACTGTGTGGTCCTTGTCACATGGGATTACATGGGAGTGACTTGCGCTTCGAGCCGAGGGAATAAATGCTGCTGAAATCTATTTTGGGGTGTGCCTACTTGCTAAGCGCCCACTCTTGCAAGAACTTATTTTTCAATAAACTGCTTGCTGCTTCACTTAATGACTCTGTCAGATTCTTGGAAGCTGACTGTGCTTGTCACAGATTCAGCCTAAGCTTGTTCCATTCCAACCAGTTTCTCACAGCCTTCAGGCACCAATTCAAGCATTCCCCTGCCTATTCTCTATGGCTTGAAATAAAGATATAGAAATGGGTACCATCAGCTCCAAGAGAAAACTTCTCTTGCTGCTTCCTGAAGACTAATGTACTGTTTGTCTTTGGGTGGTAGTTTCGTTTTTCTAAATCTCTGCAGTCTCTGCTTAACTTGACTTCCTGCCGCACCCAGAGACCTGCTTGCTTTCAGTTTCCTTCTTAATAAAACAAATTCTCCAACTAAGGAGAGGGCGGGGCTGTCTTAACCTTCCTTCCCAAGTGGCACCAAAACTCTGGATCCCAGGAGGGATAAAATATCTATTCAGTCCAGGTGGTGAGCCTCGCTTTCACAAAGGTCTCATCCTGCTCTCTCCCAGCAATACTATGCCAACAATACACTCAAGCAAATGTCTAGGCCAGGGCTAACACAACTAGATGATGTACCTCCTTCAGTCACTTGTTGAGGTGGGCAGCTAGCAAGAAGCCAGCACAAAGCCAGGAGCGGAACGATTAAAGAGACATTCCCAAAGAGCTGCCCAGATTTAAGCCTTTCACCGGCGCCAGGGGAGGAAGGAAATGCTCCGCGAAAGGTCGCCCAGCCTGCCGCCTTCATTCTCCGGCCCTTACCGTCATCTGAGACGCAAAGCAAGAGAAGCGGCGAACTCGCAGTTCCCCGGGAGGGAGCAGCTCCGGGAGGCCTCTCCGCTCGCCCAGTGACCCCGACAGGAGGGCCCGCACCGTCGCTCCGGAGGAGAGCTGCTTCCGGAGGGGAAGGCTCCCAGCCGGAGGGCCGCCCTTCTTTCGCTTCGACGTGACTGGCCGCGCCGGGCTTACCGCGGAACTAGCGGAGAGCCTGGGGCAGTCGCTGCCCCGACTCAGCCTTTAGAGCGCCCGGAAGAGAGAGCGTGCAGGGACGACGCTTCCAGGAACCGGCCAGTGCTTTGGTGGAGCCGAGGGGCTTCCCGGCAGCCCTCGGGTAGCGGGAGCTTTCGTTGCAATTTGGAACAGAGCCAACGCCTGCAAGAGAGCCGGGGGCGTCGCTCGCTTCTAACATCCGCGGGCCCGTGGGCGCTTGCGTTTGCATCTCCTGACCTGAGGGGAGCAGCGGCGGCAAAGTGCGGGCCAGGCAAAAGACTGCGGTGGAAGAAGAGCGGTGCGTGGCTAGGTTCCAAAAGTCTGCTGGCGAAGTGAGTACACCTGGCAGAGACGGCCAGGGTGAACCACGAAGGGCCGGCAAATGAACCGGAGCTTCGGAAACTCTCCGGCGAAGCAGAGCAAGAGCGATTGCTCACAAGCGCTCCGAGGGCAGCTCCCCGCGCGGGGTCGGAGCAGAGCCGTCTCCCGCAGGACTGAGCGTCGGAAAGAGGGATCTTGCTCTCGGGCTAAATGCAAAGCCAGCTGGACTCCGTTTATTATCCCCTTGGATAATAACGATCTATTTAACACCTCGTGAGTTTAACCTTCTTTCTTTCGTGTAAAGATTTTAAAAAATAAAACATAGGAAGGGACCTTGGAGATCCGTTGCTAGTTTTAGTCAGAGAATCCTCATTTTGTGGGAAAACTTTCATTTTGCTCACTTCTGAATCGTTTTCCCTTTGGGCCGCTTCTCCTTGCCCTAAAATTCCCGGAAGGCTACGTGATAGCCTTAGCAAAGAACATGTGGTATCCTGAAACAGGACAGCGCTGAAAACGAGGCTGGCCCCTCTTCCTGATGTAAGGTTTTTCAATTTAGAATCCTGATAAATCCCAATGAGACTCTGAACACGAGGCAACTGGAAACAAAATAGCTTTATCTCTTTGATCAAAGAGAAGCCGTGGAGTCTCTCTCCTGACTCTCAAACTCCCAGACAGAGGAAACAGAGCACTCACAAATCAGATTTGACACTGTTGAAGGAGAAGTCTTCATCATGGTTCAATCCAAGCTGGGAATAAACAATATGGCAACTGTTTTAGAAAGAAGATTGCAATTTATTGAAGAGGAAAGCCAGACAGGAAGATGGCTCTGGAAGAAAAAGAGGAGTGAGCACATGTAGGGAGTGGGTTTTTATACCTTCTGGAGCCTTTTGTTTGGAGTTGCTCCTGTGGCATGAACTTTGACCTGAGTCTGAGTGTGCCCTTTGGCATCTGTGGGTTAATCCTATTATGTCCTGTCTTAGAGTTTGGGTGGGATACGTAGATTATAGGTGTCTTTGTCTTCTTAATCTTCTAGCTGAGGACCTCCAATCTTCCTGGATTATTTATATCTGCATTTCTACAGAGCTGGTTTCTGCTTGAGGGAGGGAGACTTGGGGCTACTAAGAAAACTGGGCATGCTTTTCTGCCTCTTGAAGATCCTTTGAGAAAACATATCTTTCTGCCCTTTTAGTATTTCCTTCTATGGGCGGGGGGGCTGACTTCCACAATACGTAAAAGATTATATTTTGAAAGATTATACTTTGCTGTACATTTGGTTTTTCTTGCCTAAATGTAGAACCTTACTTTTTTCACCATTGAATTTCATTTTGTTAGATAGTGCCCAGTGTTCAAGTCTGTCCAAATCCTCCTGTATCTTAAGCCTGTCTTCTGGACTGTTGGCTATTCCTGCCAGCTTGGTGTATGCAAATTTGATGATTTCCCCATCTATCCCCTCGTCCAAATCGTTGATGAAGAGGTTGAAGAGCACTGGGCCCAGAACAGAGCTCTGGGGCACCCCACTACACACTTCCCTCCATGTAGATGCGGGTCCATTGAGGACCACACGCTGAGTACAGCCAGTACTCAGTAAAGGAGATGAAAAGGATAAATAATAGAACATAATATTACAGCACACTACAGGGTTAATAGACATTAGGTATCAAAGCTGATTCAGATTTTACAATAGACATTAGGCAGCATGGTGAGAATTAGCTGTTCAGCAGTGTGACTGCACTTGGGGGGGGAAACTTTTTCTAGGCATTTTGGCATGCAATGAATGCCCTGTAGCGCCATCCCAAGGGGAGAAGTTAAAGCAACTTTTATGTCCAGAATGTGAGAAATCTGCAAATATTTTCTTAGCCCTCCTTCTGATCAGTGCAATGTACAGATCTTCTATGGAAGGCAGGCTGGTTGCAGTTATTCTTTTCTGCAATCTTAACTATCCATTGGAATCTGTACCTGTCCTGTTTGATTGCTGTACCAAATAATTTGCTACTGCTTGTCAAAGATAATATGTGCCTATTTTCAGAAATGCATAAATGCTAATCTGTGTATTAAGGGCTCTCAAACTGTAATTTAGTCCCAGGAGCACACTTCTTTTTGCTACACAGAATAAACATGTTTGCAATTTCCTGCCTTTTGTGATAATTGGCTACTTTGTACCAGGGAAAAATGGCCCATTTGGCTGGGCCAATCCACAGTTTGTCCAACATAGAGATTTAAGAATTTAAAACAATATGTAATTGGCAAAAATCAATTATATCAGAGACAAAAAAAATTGAAACATTTGTACTTTTGCTGTAAATCTCAAAAACAAGTAGAGAAGGACGAAGGGTGACATGATAGCAGTGTTCCAATATATCTCGGGCTGCCACAAAGAGGGAGTCAAGCTATTCTCCAAAGTGCCTGAAGGCAGGACAAGAAGCAAATGATGTAAACTAATCAAGGAGAAAAGCAACCTAGAACTAAGGAGAAACTTCCTGACAGTTAGAATAATTAACCAGTGGAACAACCTGCCTCCAGAAGTGGTGAATGCTCCAACGCTGGAAGTTTTTAAGAAGAAACTGGACAGCCAATTGCCCGAAATGGTGTAGGGTTTCCTGCCTGAGCAGGGGGTTGGACTTGATGACTTCCAAGGTCCCTTCCAACTTTATTATTATTATTATTACTATTATTACAACAACAACAACAACAACAATAAAAGCATTTTCAATTTTCAAATAATACACCCACTGGAAATGACCAAGGTGGAATTAAACCCATATCAGGAACTGAGATTCTTTGAATGTTGCAAATGGACGCTACAAGAGATTCAAGTACCAGACAAAAGGAAAAAGTTCTTATTTTAGCATTCAAGCTAAGGTTTTAAAATGATCAACCTAGGTATCACTTTTGAGTAACTTACAAAATAATATGAATAGTAACTTAGAAAACGTACAGATCCCAGTGGTTAAACCTTTAGAATCTTTAGGAAGATTTTTTTAAAAAACCCACAACTTTTACACAACAGAGATATAATAGAACTTGAAAGTATGAAATGTAATAAAATTGAAAAATTACTAAATTGAAAATACAAAAAAAAAAAAAAATCAAGAAAAGGACTTGGCCAAGGAGCAGCTGGGACAAGAAATCCTGGACTTGCCTCTGCTAGACTTACAAAGTAGCTTGGTAAAGGTTATGAAGAAATGTTTGAAATGCCACCCGGTCAGGGAGGGAAGACATACTGTATGTAGTCCCCATCAGTTAAAGTATTCCGACTGGTGTCAGGAAGAAAGCCTTCTCTGCCATTGCCCACTGTGGAACATTCTCCCCCCCCACCCCCCGCACAGAACCAAGTTGGGCTGCCATCTCTGCCTGGGGCTCACAAAGGAGCTGTGGTCGTTGGGCTGGCTAGTGCCTGCCTTTCCTTCCCTGCCTTTCATTTAACTTTTAATGTTAAATTTTAACTACCCTTGCATGTTTTGAATCTTTATATTCATTTTTTTATGTTTGTAACATTTTATTTGTATATACTAACCAGAGTCCCATGTGAGGGAGATGGGCAATTCCTAAGAGAGAGACAGACAGAGAGACCAAATTTTATTTATTTATTTTATTTTTAAAATTTATAAGCCGCCCCACTCCTGCAGGACTACGGGCGGCTAACAATAAAAACACCATATAACATGACAAAACAAACAGTACAATAACAGTCATCCAGGGGTCAGATTTTATAAAACCCAGGCCTGCCGGAAAAGCCAGGTCTTAAGCAGCTTACGGAAAACCAACAGGGTGGGAGTGGTCCTAATCTCCGGGGGGAGCTGGTTCCAAGACGTGGGCACCATCACAGAGAAAGCCCTCCTCCGCGGCCCTGCCAAATGGCACTGCTTGGCCGATGGGACCTGAAGGAGGCCCAGCCTGTGGGATCTAACTGGACGAAGGGAACTATGAGGTAGTAGGCGGTCTCGCAAATAGCCTGGCCCTGAGCCATATAGGGCTTTAAAGGTAATAACCAACACCTTGAATTGGACCCGGAGACCAATAGGCAACCAGTGCAGCTCACGGAGGATAGGTATAACGTGGGTGTACCGAGGAGCATCCACTATCACTCGCGCGGCTGCATTCTGGACCAATTGTAGTCTCCGAATAGTTTTCAAGGGTAGCCCCATGTAGAGCGCATTGCAGTAGTCCAGACGTGAGGTGACAAGGGCATGAGTGACTGTAAGGAGAGCCTCCCGGTCCAGGTAGGGTCACAACTGGTGCAACAGACGGACTTGTGCAAAGGTCCTCCCAGCCACAGCTGTCAAATGATGTTCCAAATTCAGGTGTGGATCAAGGAGGACACCCAAGTTGTGAACCCACTCCGAAGGGGGTATATTTTCCCCTGCTAGAGTCAACACTGGACAGTTAACATGATCCTTGGGAGGCAACATCCAAAGCCACTCGGTCTTGTCAGGATTGAGCCTGAGTCTGTTAACCCCCATCCAGACCCTCACGGCTTCAAGGCAATGGCCCATCACATCAGCCGCTTCACTGAGAGAGCTTGAGGAGGAGATATATAACTGGGTATCATCAGCATACTGATGAAACCTCACCCCGTGCTGTCTGATGATCTCACCCAGCGGCTTCATGTAAATGTTAAATAGGAGGGGGGAGAGGACCGACCCCTGTGGCACGCCGCAATCAAGGGGCCTCGGGGTTGACCTCTGCCCTCCCACCAATACTGATTGTGACCGGCCAGAGAGGTAGGAGGAGAACCACCGTAAAATGGTGCCTCCCACTCCCACCCCTTCAAGTCGTTGCAAAAGGATACCATGATCGATGGTATCAAAAGCCGCTGAGAGGTCAAGTAGCACCAAGACATAGGAATAACCCCTGTCTCAGGCCCGCCAGAGATCATCCATCAGCATGGCCAAAGCAGTTTCTGTGCTGAAGCTGGGCCTGAAGTCAGATTGAAAAGGGTCTAGATAATCCGCTTCATCCAGAGACCGTCAGAGCTGGAGCGCCACCACTCTCTCTACAACCTTCCCCAAAAAGTGGAGATTGGAGACTGGACAGAAGTTATTTAAATCAGCCGGGTCCAGGGTAGGTTTCTTGAGAAGGGGCCTCACAACCGCTTCCTTCAAGGATTGCGGGAAAGACCCCTCAATGAAGCGTTGATCAACACCTGGAGCCAGCCTCGTGTCATTTCCTTGGCCGACCAGGAAGGACACGGGTCCAATAAACAAGTGGAGGCGCTCATCGCTCCTACCGCTCTGTCAACATCCTCAGCAGTCACAGACTCAAATTCATCCCATAAAACTGGGCTAAGACCAGCCCCGGTCACCTCAGAAGGCCCTGCCCAATTGGAGTCTAGGTCTGTCCGAATCCGAGCGATTTTGTCTGATAGGAACTGCACAAATTCTTCCGCCCTACCCTGTAAGGGCTCCCCGGCTTCCCAAACGTTAAGTAGGGAACGGGTCACCCTAAACGGAGTGGGGCGAGATTCTGCAGATGCAATAAGTGCGGAAAAATGCGAACATTTTGCTGCTCGTATCGCCACTAAATAAATCCTAATATAGGCTCTTAAAAGTGTCCGGTCGGATTCGGAGTTACTAGCCCTCCAGCGTCACTCTAGACGTCTCTTCTGACGCTTCATCTCCCGTAGCTCCTCGGTAAACCAAGGTGCCCTCCGGGATCCACAATCATGGAGAGGTTGCAAAGGTGCGATCCGGTCTAACGCCCCTGATGCCGCCTTATTCCAAGCAGTGACCAAGGACTCAGCTGGTTCGCGGAGGAGGGAATCAGAAAAACCCCCAAGTGCTATTTGGAACCCCTCCGGGTCCATTAAACGCCTGGGGCGGAACCACCTAATCGGTT